GGGGGGCGTGGGTTTTTTTTGTTTTTTTTTTTTTTTTTTTTTTTTTGTCCGATATTTCCTTCTTTTGTTCCTTTCTGTTTTAAAGCTGATTGTTCATGGGTCATTGGTGAACAATGGAGCGTTGGGGTGACCTGGGCTGTTCGCGTCAGGCTGGAGGTGCTAGTAACAATGAAAATGCAATCAGGGTGGACCATGGTGAATGAGGTCTCTATTTTGATATCTTGGTGATAGCAAAAAGGAAGTTTATTTTCACTTTAAAATGGATTTGACAAAACCTTAGGCGAATAAGGTGAAGTGAGCAATTTAGATATACCCTTTTTATGATGATATACTTCTTTTATGATGGTAATCGACCCTGAGAATAAGGCGTCTGAGGAATTCAATAGGTCAAAGTGAGTACGAACGGAATTGGAATGTATGGAGATGTTTCGTATTCGGAAGTGTTGAATTTAAACTAATGAGGGAAATGTGGTGAATGCCTTGTAGCCAGGTTTTTCAATCCTTGAAGGTTTATCAAAACGGAGACGTAGTTCGATCGTTACTTCAAATCCACAACTTTAGGACGCAAGACTCCCTCGCATTGATTATTGTAAATTTATGTTACTTTGTCAATCCATGAAGTGGCTCTCCCTCTTACAATCACATTAATAGTCTTTTCAGGCGCTACCGCCCTTTTCTGGCGAATCTGTACACCTCCATCCATTCATATCTATATCGTCCTCAAATATACGTCTCGAGAAATTCGGCCGTGTGCTTGAAAGAAAACTTTCTTCTGTGCCGCCCGGCCACCATCTCCAACTGACCCCTGTGCAGCATCAAGTCCAATGGCTCAACATAGAACATCGAGTCGTGAACAGCACCCTTCTGCATGAACAGCGAGAAATTGTGCTTTCCATTCTTTTCGCCAAACTCCTCCTGGGCCAAACGGAAGATCTCACGCTCTCCGTAAAGCATAAGCGTGCTGCCCTCGCCGTTGAAAGCAGGCACCTTTGCCCAGTGCTCCTTATAGTTGGTTCTGTAGAAGTCCACCCAGGGCCCGACAGACTCTGGCTTCTCGCCATTAATGTACAAGAGCCCGGTTCTGCCATTGTCGCCGCCAAGATCACCCTCGTAGTCCACGCCTGGGTACGGTTTGGGGTCGTGGTAGGGCTCGAGCCACGGGCCGATAAGCAAAAGATGGCGGGGAGCTGGGAGCGGCAGGAAATTCCACTCAAACTGGGTAAATCTCGAGAATTGAGCTTTGGCAGCCTCAGGGTACGACCAGAAACGCGCCAATGCCAAACTCAAGTTGGCGCCGGCCGAGTCGCCGATAAGCAGCACCTCGTAGCCCTGGTTGACCAACTCGCGGTACGCCTTGTGGGCCTCCCAGATCTGGGTGGGGTAGAGTTTGTTGTGGTGCAAGATCAGGTAGTCCAAGTTGGCAATGGCCAAGTTCTGGCGTTTCTCCGGGTCGAGCGCGTACCACACGGCCATGATGCCCACGAACTGGGCCTTGATCATGGGCACGAGGTAGCCGCCGCCGTGGAAGAAAAGGAGGGCCTTTTTGGCTCCTTCAGGGCGGACCACCCATGTCAATCTCGAATCGTCCTTGACAGGCTCACCGAAATGGGGCATCCCCAGCCCGCCCTGGCGCTCGTACGCCTTGTAGAACGGGTTCATCGGGTATTTCATGACCCAGGGGTCTTTTTGGTTGAAGCCTCTGGCGACATGGGAAATCACGGCAATCTGGATGTTCTTCACAAGAGACGTGCCGAATTCCTCTGGATCCGCCTGGAGCGCCATGCCTGTGGTGTAGAACTGGACGACGATACGGAGCACCACCCAAGGAGTAGTAATGAATCTAAAGAGCAAAGGTGCGGAAAACATGGTGAGAAATTGAAGGGGAATCGGTGGTTTATATATGTGTGGGGCGCGAGGAATAACTCCGGGAGGGGAGTCTCGAGTCTGGGGTACGCACTAGGATTTTTATGGGTGGGTGTTCGATTGAGTTGATTGAGTTGAATTTGTTGATTGAGTAAATTCGAGCAGTTTCACATTTTCTTCTTCTTTTTTGCTTTTTTTTCCTCTTCTTTCTGCAAATTGGCGAGTTGCAGCCGTGGTGCCTCGATGCTCGTGGAAATCGGAGATAATTGTGTCAGCCTGTCTGGGGAAGATGCGAAATTAGCGTTGCTGCAGCGGCGGCATTGGACATTTCATCTTCCTGAGAGGAGTCTTTCCGAATGGGGAAATACGGTCCTGAAAAATGAAATCGATTTTTAAAAATTGAAGAAATTTTTGAAAAATGACAAGGATTTGAAATCTGCCATTGTGAATTCATGGCACTTCCTTGATTTTGGTTGCCAGGCTGCACCGCAGATTTACTGGAGATCCAGCGCGATAAGGCAGGTGGACAGGATAGGCAAGGTGGGTCTGAATGGTGTATTTGGGGTTCCGTTGGAGCGGGCCAATAGACGGTGATTTTGGATTTAACCATTTTCTTCCTTTGACGGTATTTGCTTTTTTTGTTTATTTTCCCGTTTCTTTTCTGATATAAGCTTTCTCGTTGTGGCTTGCAGCTGTCAAAGTTTGATAGTGCATCGACGAGGGAACACCAGACTAAGCCATAAGTTAATTGTCTTAAGCTTCAAGGGCTTTGATGGTGGTTTGTGCATTGAAGAAAGGGCAATTCGAAGTATGTTACACTTTTTCGACTTGAAAAAAGTCTGGATATTCATTAGATCGGGGTGGCTGCAAAGGATGGCTTAGAGAGACCGGTGGAGAATGTGAGACTTTGAAAAATACAATTGATGTCCTACGAGTTTTGGAAATCTGACGAATTTTAATTCCTTAGTCGAGCTCATGTCGTCCTTTCAAGCTGCTTATCGTTTGAGGTTCACGATATCTGTGATTCAGTGGAATGCAAGTTTATATCCCAATCAGACATTAAGAAGCCTTTGCACGAATTGTTCACTCTTAAATTGATCACAAAGTAGCCAGCATCAGAGACCTCCATCTGGAGATCACAACTTCTTCTCACCAACGCTTAACCTAAACCATTTCATCGGGAAACAACCTCACTACCCATAGTATCCCTCCATCCTACTTCTTCCACAATCATTTCTCCAACACATCAATCCCTACAACCTCACCAACGCATGTCCTTCATTACCTACAACCTGAAATCCGAACCCGTCTGTGGGCCCTTGTTCTTCTTCAATTGTCCCTTGGCGTCTCTCATCTGGCCCTTCTTGTCAATCACAGTGACATTCTTCGCCTTGGCCAAATCGCCCAAAGCATCGCCCACCTTCTGTCTCTTCTTGTCGCCTCCGTCGGGATTCTGCTTGTTCCGCTGCTCTCTGGCCTCGTTGACCTCCTTCATGTGCTTCGACTTGGCTCTCTTCTTGGACCTCCTCAATCTCTGCTTGTCCTCTGTGCTGAGCTCGTCCTTGGAGTAGGACAATCCGCTCTTCAACTGCACCTCCTTCACGCCCTGAGCACCGTTGGCCTTGGGCTTGTCGTCTCCAATCTTGTATACTTCCTGTGGAGCAAGGGTGGTTTCGTTAGAAACATGCAATGGCTGGGCGTCCTCCATGTTGATGGAAGCGGCGCCGTCGGTGACCTTGATGTCGATGGTCTTGAACTCGTGTGGTTTGGGGATGTAGTGTGCCAGACAGAGGGAGTCGAGCTTGTAGTTGACGCTGGTGAAGAGATCGGTGATTTCGTCGTGGGCCTGTTGCACCTCGTCGGAGATTTTTTGTTCGGGATCCACGCCGTGGTACTCGTCCTCGTAGATTTCCGCCAACGACTTGCTGCTTTTTTCTTCGGACACGTCCGTTTTCTGCCGCTGGGAGAACCTCAGCACGTCGGTGATGAGTCTTTTGGGGAGATCGTCGAATTCGTCGTTTCTGACTCTCCGCTTGATGAGGTCCTCGATACTCTCGGTGACGTCGTCCGTGATGACCGGCACGGGCTTGGACGTGCGGTCAAACTCAAGCGAAGGAGCCTCCTCGTCGTCAAGAAGCGAATCCGTGGGTCTATCCTTTGAACGGACTTCTCCCTTCATCGTCCACTTCTTCTCGGCCACAAGCTCGGCTTCTAGATTGGCGATTTCGGCTCGAAGCTTCTCCTGCTGTTTTTCGTACGTCGACTGGCTCTTCTTCTTGGGCTGCTCCTCTTCGTCCGGGAAGAGATCTAGCATGGCTCCGTCGACGGCGTTTTCGTATTCGTCTTCCTCCAACTCGCTCGCTTCGTCTTCTTCGTTCTGCAAAAGCTGTTTCTTCGATCTGACGTGGCCGGGCTTGTCGAAAAAGCCGTCGTAGAAGTCCATCTCCTCGTCGCTGTCTTCGTCGCTGAGGTCGTCGAAAAGATCGATCTGCTCGTCGTCCTCGGGCTCGTCCTCGAGCTCCACGATCTGCTTGTTGAAGTCGTCGATGTCGAAGAAGTCGTCGTTGAGGCCGAAGGCGTCTTTCTGGATCTTTGCTGGTTCTTCCACGAGGGTTTCTGCGTCCAGGCCTGAGGCGGCGTCATCCACCTGGTCTTCATCCTCGTTTTCCTCTTCTTCGTCTTCTTCCTCTTCTTCGTCTTCTTCCTCTTCTTCTTCCTCTTCTTTTGCATCATCATCTTCGTCTTCCTCATCAACTTCCTCATCATCAACCTCCTCATCCTCCTCATCAACCTCCCCCTCATCATCCTCATCATCCTCCTCCGGCTCCAGGCCAAAACGGTGCTTGAGCTCCGGAAGCTTCTCAAACAAAAGCGCCTCGCCCACCCCGCCAAGTATCATCTTCGCCTGGCCGTACACCTGGGTGGCATCGAGGCCTTCCACATAAAGCTCATCAAGCACCGAGTGGTCCTTGGCGATCGGGTCCAAAAGCGTTTTGGTGACGCTGTTGAGCTTCTCTACCGACCCGGCGTCCCGGGAAAGCCCGATGATCGCCAGCGGGTCCGCCGCTAGCTGTTTTAGTAAGTCCATGCTTTGTGGGTGTAGTTGAAAAAAGTGATGAGCATCGCACCAGTGCAGGCCTATCAGTACCCCAGAGGAGGAGGAGGACACACACAGAAGGAGACACTAAAGAATTGAAATATCCACAGAATAGCTCTTTTATGCCCCTTAAACCACCATTTCCAAGAATCCTCACCCTCTGCCGCTGGAAGTCTGGCACTTCCCTGCGCAGATGGGTCCAACGCCAGATGGTGGACCCCCACGCCAAAAAGTCCAAAACAGACGGCTACCGCTCCCGAGCAGCCTATAAGCTTCTTGAGCTCGACACCAAGTTTCGTCTTTTTGGGAAATCCACGCGGAATATCGTCGATTTGGGCTTTGCGCCTGGAGCCTGGACTCAGGTTGCTTTGAACAAAAGCAGAGCCCGAGGCGTCCAGCCCAGCATCCTCGGCATAGATTTGATCCATTGCCAGCCGCCCGAAGGTTCTCTGTTCATTCAGGGCGACATTTTCCTGAAAACAACCCACAACAGCATCCAGGCGTTTTTCGAGCCTCGAGGACCCTTGGACCTCGTTTTAAGCGACATGATGACAAACACCAGCGGGATTGGTGACAACGACCATTTTGCCAGCATGGAGTTGTGTGACGGTGTTTTGCTTCTAGCGCTGCAGATGCTCCAGAAGAACGGAGGCCTTGTGATGAAGTTCTACACGGGGAAAGAGGACCAGATCTTGCAGAAACGGCTCGAGAAGGTTTTCGCCAGGGTCCACAAAGTCAAGCCTGCAGCGTGCCGGGCAGAGCTGCGGGAAATGTACTTTGTGTGTTTGAGGAAAAAGAGGGAGGTATCTGTGGAGGAGTTATTCTCGTGATGATACATCGCGAAATGCTACTAAGTACTACCTCGATCCACAGATACCAGGCGAACAATCCACTAATTCGATCCAAAACCGATCATCCACTTATTCGATTCAAAACCGATTATCCAGATCGATCCAATCGGTCACCTTCACAATCTGTACATAGCCACATGCAATTCCAAACGAATCCCCATACTTCCCTATGAAACACAGGCTCTTGCTTAACCCAGTCAAGTGGCTCAGGGGAGCCAGAAAACGCCATGCTGCTGACCTCTACGACGCGTCTGCCTACAATCCCCAAACTCTAAAATCCAACCCCTTTGCCAGGGCTTTGGACGCCACAAGAATGGACATTCTGGGAAAACGCTTCCCTCTAGGCAACATGGTCCAAACCATCGTGGAGAAACGTGGCGGGAAATACGAAATCGTGCCTGTTTTGGAGAAACCGGTGCTTGGGGTGAACCCCGCAAGCTACGTGTTGAACAGAGCGTCCTACATTGCATTTGCTCAGAAAAGAGTGTTTCTACCGATACCCTCCAAACGCAGACAAAGAGACAAGAAACTGCTTGGTCAGACACGTGTGGTCGACGACTTTATCGGTGTTTACCGTGGGCTTTTGGAGGAGGCGATACGGCCGCTTTTGGACAACGTGGAGGGCGGTGAAGGTCCAGGCATGAAGGTTCTACCGGGTAATGGACCTATAAATTGGGAAAACGACACGCCACATGTGTACAGCCCACTTGTTGACAAGGAAGTGCACCTTCCATATGAAGAAAACCAGCAATTGTGCCAGCTTCTCTTGAAACATGCCCAGTTCTGCGATTGTGCCCCCACAGCCTCACGGTGAAGCCTTATCACGGCATGGAACTTTATAGAGTACGAGATACCCACTTTACAGCCCGTGGGGCTGTGGGGTCTCACCAGCCACTTACGCACGATTACAGCAGGTGTCAAACCGAATCCTTAATTCTATACCAGTGCACAGCACCATTTTATGCCTCAGCGAGACCAATCTAAATATACATCAAAACCAGGAAGGCAGAAACCAACCAAGCCATGAAATTCGTCGATGGCACGATACCCTCAGACTTCTTCTGGCTCGTGTTCAACGTGACGCTCTGCAACTTATCGTCCACCTCGCTATTAGTGTCAATCCACTTGTTCAAAGTGGAAGCGTCAATCTCCGAATCGATGCTGGTGGAGTTCAGCAAGAAAGACACGGCGTTTCCGCTATTGTCGAAAACAACACCACCAAGCATCTTGTTGTTCAAGTCTCTGTAGAAATGGCCCTCAGCAGCCATGCCCAAGTTGATATTGTCCGTTCCCTGGTAGTCGTGGATTGTGGAGAACAAGTGGTTGGATTCCGTGGAGTTCATCACCTCGAAAATGTCGTATTCTCCACATCCAGAGCTCCAGCACGAGCAGTTGGAGTTGCTTGAGTACTGGGAGGTTCTGGGGATCTTAGCATTGAGAAGCCAGATGGCAGGCATGTCGTAGAAGATGTTGGAGTTGTTCTTGTTGGGTTCCGTGGGCATCTCAAACTCAAACAAGAACATCTTGACGGTTCCGCCAAAGCCGTGGAATGCCGGGATGCCAGATCTGTAGACACCACAGTCTTTGCTTGTGCCCAGCTTCTCACACTTGGACGTGCTGAAGATCAGGTACTCCTGGTCGGAAAGAAGCAAGGTGTCGTCCGCTAAAAGCGTGGCGGAGTCTGCTTCTTCTGTTCCGTTTGACGAGGCATATGTCAAGGCCTTTCCAAGACAGTTGGAGTCTTTGCCTGCATTGGTCAAGAAAGTCACATTTTCGCCGGAATTGTCCAGAGCGGAGTAGTATGCTTTTCTGGTGAACGTACCCAGCGACTCGCCCTTGACGTAGCTGTCGCCCGAGTAGAATGCAAATTGGTGGAGTTTGAGTGGACCCCTGAAGTGCACCGAGAGCTCCTCATCTAAGGGAGTATTGGTGCCTTCGAAAACGGTGAAACTCGTCTGCAACTTACAGTTGCATTTGTCCAGATCGTCCAACTTCTCGACATCGTAGTAGTAGCCGGTGTAGCCCAAGTTGCTGAAGTTTATGGCATTCACCTGAGGCGTATTCAGCTTCTCATTACCAGTGGAGGGGGCCTGGGTGGCTGCAGCGGAAACCAAAGCAGGCAAGATGAGGGAAGAAAGAAGCATGGGGAAAATAATCAGAAGAATCAAAAGAGGGAAATGTGCTGCTATTTATACTCGGGCTCGGAGGGATGCAGCCTGATGCCGTCGGGGCGGTGCAATATGTCCCGATTTGAGGGATTGCAGGAAACGTTTAAGCACGGTGCTGGCGGCTATTATTGTTTTCCTGCATGTGGCGCGGCACCTGTCACCTTGACAGAAGCGAACATTTTAGAGATCCGGCAGTGATGGGTGGGCTGGGCTTGTATGCAGGTCGGTGGTCCCACCATCACCATCACCTCATTCCCTCACCCCTGAGTCCTCAAGCTGACTCTCAAATGGATATCAATCCTCCCCTATCGCTCTTCCACCTCGCCTTTCTCTACCACCCCCACGCCAACCCCCACAGGTCGTGCGCGGATCATAAACGCCGTAGTGGTCGCGCGACCTTCCCTCACTGAGAAAATCTTACCATCACCAACTCTACACCGATCCACAAACCTCCACATTCACGGCCCCCACCCACCCATTCGTCTCCCCCACCTTCCCCCAACATTTCCCTATTCATCCGCAAAACCCGGTCGAATGCCTGCACGGTCGTCCGATTACATATCGCCTCCACCGTTTGGGCCATCGGCACGAAACGACCAGGTTCCTGAACGAACAGCAGGATCCAAGGTCCATTCACGGCTGCACAATGGCAAAGGTCACGGTCAGAGGTCTTCGAAGCCTCAGGGAAGACCTGGAGCTCCAAAACACCACGGTCTGGACAAATCGCCTTCTCCAGTTGCACTTCCGATGTACCCATCATCGCCCAATGAAACGTCGATTTTGCCTCCTGTGACGTGGAAAGACGTGCCTGCTCTCATTTTCGTGTTTCTCCTTCTTCCCCAGGGCATTTCGTGCCTTTTGTTGTTGGGATACATCATGTCGGGCACCTTCCGAGGTCTGGCTGCTCGCTTTCTAGCACGCTTTTCTGTGCTTGTGGAGGACCGCCTGGGAAGCATCATTCCTTCGTTTTCAAGATCCTCCGGTCGCCTGCGGCACTGGTGCTACAACAGAGCCGTGGCGGGCGAGTTTCTCCAGCTCTTCTCCATCAATTCCATGGTTTTGTTGTTCTGCCATTCCACCATGCCTCGCCTGTGGACCCACTACCTCCTGGTCATGGCAAAGCTGATTGTCGCCAGCCGCTTGGTTGGAACCTACACCGTGGGCACCGCTACATACGTGTCCATGCTGTCGAACGGCCAGACTTCCACCGCTACATCCTCATCAAACCCACATCTGAGCACCACCGGTGTCCTCGATAAAAGCCGGTACCTGAAATCCAGCCTCATCAATTCCCTTTTGGGTTTTGCCACCGTCACCGTGACAGACACCTTGTTTCGGCACTGGCTCGAGCACCTCAATGTGCCCCAGCTTGCCGGTGATCTAGCACGCTTCTACCGCGGCGTGTGGCATCTTGGTTTGTCTTCGTCTGAAGGTGCCAGCACATCCGACTACCTCAAGATCTTCTTCACAAAGTCGCCTTTTATCGTCACCTACAATTACCTTTCCAAGCGCAAGGACAGGTACTACAGCTTGGGTGTCCGCAAAGGAAGTGGCATCAGACTCAGTGTTCTCGACAAAATCATCATCTTCGTGGCAGTGAGGGTCTTCAACATCAACGAAGACTCCCTCCAAACGCTTACGTTGGTGCTCCAGGAAATCAGCACAATCATCAACTACGCATACCTTGTGCTTTGCATACACGTCATTAGCCTTACCATATCTCCTTTCTTGGAGAGATTCTTCATCTTCAAAGACTACTCGAAGAACTTAGACCACTTGTCTTCGCTCACCCCTAGCATTCCCTTGAGTGGAGACAAAAGCAGCCCAGTCCCCAATCCTCAGCACAATGATTCCATGATGATCATCAATGTGGACCAGCCAAAGGCGGCCGTCCCAGCGGGGCTAACAACTATAGAGTTGGACCCGGAGATTGCCAAATCCGATGCTGATTTGCATCCTGATGGCACTGTCAGTGCCAGGAACTTCGAAGTGTTTTGTCTCATCCCTCCCACAAAGAAGGCGGTTTCAGGCTGTATTAAGGCGCAACAGAATAGAACCTTTGTGGAAAGGAGACGTGCCAACAGCAGTGGCGGTCCTCCTTCGACAACAATTGTCGACCGTCATTTCACCACCTCCATTCAGCCATTGTGGTCATGGATCGCTGCCATCAAGGTTTTCTTTGTCAACTCCAACTTTTTTGGTGGAAAATCCTGCGGATCACAATCCCCTGAGTGTCCCGTTGAGCATCAGCACATGTCTGTTTGCAAAGTTGGTGCTCGTGAGGTTGTTCTTGAATTGAATGATCCATCGCTCATCTCCTGTGACCACTTTACCGTGCAAGTGAACTCCATCCATTGGCCTTTTGTTACCACCATTATGAATGCTTCTAAAGACCGGAAGTTTATTAGAGTCGAAAGTCTCAAGCCTTTCAGCCAGTATGAGATACGCTGTATGCTCGAGGACTCCACGTTGGCCACTGTTACTGTTAGCACCACCGACCCGAGAGACCAAGCTTTTCTTGATCATTCCACGAGGACCTCTCCCACTGAGACACTTGAGGACTGTCACGCATCCGCCATTGATGAGCTCAACGAGATCAGATGGAACCTCAGAAAACTGAGGAAGGATGAGAATAAGCGTATCACCGATCTCAAGAAGCAGGTGGATAGCATGAAAGCCAGGGTCGACAAGGTCCACAGCAGAGCCCCCATTGAAGGTCGTGGAAGCGGAAAGCTCAAGGGTCTTCAGTACTCCGTGATTCAGTTGGAGAACGAGATCGAAGAGCTCAACAAACAGCTCCACAGCTTGAAGGAAAGCAGTGATACCGTCGACGGCGACTTGAAGGCCGAGGAGCAAGCCACTCTTGACCAAATTCGGAGTTTGGAGGCGTTCATCGAAGATCACGAGTACAGCACGGGACAGCTCAAGAATGGAATTCGTGCTGTTGAGAACGAACGCAACAACGTCTCCGTGAAGCACAAGAAGTTGGAGGGCAAAATCTCGTCACGCAAGGAGGAGATTGCCCGGCTCAATGCGGAGGTCAAGAGCATGAAGAAAGCCGTTTTGACTCGTTACCAGCGCAGACAAAAACGTGTTCAGGAGCGTTTCGACACAATTCTTCCCAAGGTGGAGCAAGCCATCGAGGACCTTGGCCAGGAGTTGGAAGAGTACCAAGCTTGAGAGAGTGCTACATAGGTCAACCAAGTTAGAGATCAGGAAACTGTAGGTCGTTGTCTAAATTACGTTAAATGCTGTATAATCGCCGACTCTAACTGCGTCAGCGCTATTTCGAAGTGAATGGCTCTAAAAGAGTCTGTTTTTTTGTTGCTAAGCAAGCTCGACTTTTTTCATCAGGCCTCAATGCCACAAAGTCTGACTACCTCTCCTGAAGACTCGAGCCGACTTTATGGAAACCCCGCTGGTAGTAGAGCAAGCCGCCCAGCTGCTTGGCCTCGTAATGCTTGTTTGGCGATAAAATGTCCGTGACATCCACAACCCAGATCTCATGAGAGTCCACCTTGAACACCTCGTGTTTCTTACACACAAACGCCTTTTCCGCCTCGTTCAACACGGGCACCAACCCCCGGCCGGTGTCGTGTAAGCTGTAGTTGTTTTCGCCAATGTGTGCAAAAGGCGTGGTCATTTCATGGAAGATTTCACCGTCTTCTGGTTTGACGTCAAAGTGCTTTCTGTCTGTTTTGATCCCGGCAGCGAAGGTTCGGCTTAGAAACACCGACCGGCTTGTTGGCGGCATCAAGTGGAGACACAATTGGCCGTGGTTGTCGTGGAGTGCTTGGGAGGTGTAGCTTGGAAGATGCAAATTGAACTGAAGAAGCGGTTTAGGATGGACCGAGAGGGAACAAACGGACGAAAGGGTCATGCCGTGGAGAATGTCGTTTTTCGTTCTGCAGCCGGCCGTCAAGATCATCGCCTGGGTGCTGACCCGGGCCATGGCGGCCTTGAACTGGGGTATGCTTATGGACATGGATTTGTAGCTTGTGTGGAAAAATCAGCAATGCGGAGGAAAATGGGCACGAAAAATCGGATTTTGTGGAAAAATGTGAAAAAAACTCGAATAGGGGGAAATGGCACCTAGCGTTTCAGGCCTTGACCTTATTTTCACCAATTTCTGAAATTCAGTCGATGTTGGCCGTGTTCAAGGTGGCTGCGATGCTCATCTACCTATAGGCCCATGGTGCTGCGTGCAGTACGTAAACATACCTCCTCGAATCGGTTGCAACACAAATCTGCAGCAACATGGCCTTGACGGAAATTCTGCCGAACCGACCCCGAAAAGCGGCGCTGCTGAAGGAATTTAAGTATGAGAGGCGCCTAAAGGATGAGGATTACACCCGTGTCTATGATTGCATTCTGCCTTACGACCTCAGAGAGGCAGTCAAGGCCCACCACAGACTGATTGTGGGCATGGTGCACGAAAAAAAGATCGATTTGGCGTACCAGGAGCTTCAGAAGATGTTTGTTGGATTGTGTGACTGCCGGCTTCGATCTGGCGAGGTGCCGTTGTCGACTCTTTTGCATGGCGAGTTTGGTGATTTGGATCACACCTTGGTGAACTCGTACCATATCCTTTTGCTTCAGACGTTGCTCCAGCGTGTTTCTGGGAACTTGCAGCTGATAGCTGCGGGCGAAAATGGCTTCAACATTTTGATATTCCACACAATTGCATCGTCTTTGACGCGTACTGGGTCTATTGTGAAGTGGATCGAAAAGGCTCCAGGCCAGGTATCGTTGAAGCACTACGCGGGCTTGCGCAAGGTGGCGACGGGGTTCCTCAAAATCATAGACTTTTTGCATCAGAAGACCCCGCTGGCCCAATTGTCCGGGTATAGAGAGGAATGGGTGCTACTCCAGATGAAGTTCTCCAGGTTGGCGGACCCAGAAGTCCAGGTTGAGGTACCTCAATCGGCACAGGGTGAGTTTCTAAATGACCTCAGGGCATCAATTGAGCCACAACCGGTACCTACAGAACAAGCCCCCAATGATCCTTTACAGCATGTACTCCACGAGCTACAGATAGACTCCCCGGTTGTCCCCTCAACAAAGCTATATTCGAGGGTAATCGACAAACTCGGCTCACTCCTGCCAACCGCAGATCGTGTTGATGTACTCGACAACATACTTCTTGCATTCGACGGCATTGACATGCCTTCCAAAGAGACCTTCATAGACTGTGTGGCCCGCTTCGCCAAGGAGCTCTCGACAAATCACAAATTTCAAATTCTACTCGAGCGGGTATTACCGTTTGCATTGGACCTAGCCAAAGACAAATCCGAGATGGTCTCGTCGTGCTTCCGTTTCGGCAATAGTCATCAGAACTGTGCAGCGCTACTATTGGGCCTCCATCATTTACCGCCATCTGTGGAGAAGAGAAAGAAACAAGGCTTGAGGGAGCTCACGCTCAACTGTCTCATGATAAATAGGCAGTTTGAACATTCTTTGAATGCTACCGTTGGCTACCTAACTGACCATGATTTTCCAGAAGGCAGTGTGCTAAGAGGCACCACTGGGAACCTTCCAGAATGTGTGCTCAAGTCGCTTGCATACCTTTCAAAGTACCGCTTGGACGATCTTTCGGAAGCAATTGCGAGCCTAGCAATGGGTGATGACTCTAGAGGACAATTACTCCTTCAGACACTTTTATCGATAGACGAGGCAAGCGTGGTATCCGTTAAGGGCCTCTTTTCTGCGTTCACCATTAAAGACAGCTCCACACTCCTTTTTTGCATATTGAACGCTGAAAGAGTGACTGAAGTGTTCCTTTCGTTACCCAAACCCACCACCACTTTCGATAGACTTCTTTCAGCTGCGATTCTCACCAATCGACTCAAAACCACACCCGGTCCCGTGAAGCCTTTTCTCGCTGACATCGGCACCCATATCGGGGCATGGCTTAGGAATACGTCCTTTGATGATGTTGAGTCAGAAACTCTCACAACCCTCACCCGCAGCGTGTTTGATGGCGGCCATTACGCCTTTGCGCTGTATATCCTCCAAATGCTGGACGAGGTCGACTCAATTCCCCTTGAGATGCGACTCTCATTACAACTCCTTTCCATTAAGTGCAGCTTACGTCTTGGAAAATATGAGGAGATCCCATCGAAGTTGAGCACTGCTGGCAGGTTGATGAAACAGATGGCTGAATCCAAGATGATTGTCGAGAGTTTGTCACTTGTCGAATGGAAACTACATCAGTTCGAGTATTTCATCAACACCTACAACGCCAAAAAAGCTGGCGAGAAGTTTGAAGAGATCACCAGATTCCTCGCTTGCAAACCTGAATTCAGCCTCAGTGCCAATCAGTCGATGCCGCTCACGCAAACCATATCTTGCCTTCTACTCAACGCACATTTCCTTCACTTGACAGCTAAATTCGAGTACAGCACGGGTAGATTTGCCCTGGCCTTGAAGAATTTGAAGTTAGCTATCAAGATTGGTGTGTCTATTTTGAAGAAGCTTTCTGGAGCATGCGACTTAAAAGACGAGACTGTTCGATTCTTATTGACATGTTACAAGGAGGGCTTCGAGCTTGCCAAACAGGCCGGGTGCCTGGGTGAGGCGGTTAACATGATACTGGAAATGGATCATATTAACCAGTCGTTCAAAGATTCCTTGATCAATGCCAAGGCTCACTTTGCTCTTGCTGACATGTATCTTTTGACAGGGGATATGCTGACTTCTGCTTTACAATACGAAGAGGGTCAACGCATCTCATCAGAGAAGGACATGGCTTTATTGAAGGCAATGCAGTTGAGCTCCGTCCTTTTAAGCTACGTGCTCAACGGGGAGTCTAAAACGACCCTGATCAAGTCTGAATTGCTCGAAACTCTTGGACATGTCGATCAAATGGAAGCATTTTCATCAAAGGATTTGTTGAGCGACCTAGGCAGATACGAGTATCTTCTTTCCCAGAAGGAGAGCATTGTTTTGACGGAGAACAACACTGACCATTCGCCTCAAACCATTCTTTTGAAGACAATAGCATCCGCCAGACAAGAGATTCTGGACGTGAAAAGTGCAATCATTGATAAAGGAAATGCGATCGTCATTCCGTCTGGACTCGCATTCACCAGCGAGTTGAACGAAAAAGATCTCAGCATCGTCGACAAGCTTCTTGATTGCAAAGATACATTGCTCAGATTTCTTGAGAACGACTACTCGCAGCTGCTTGGGGTTGAGGAGTTGAAAGACCTTCAAAATACTCTTACAAGATGCATCTTCACTCTTTCCCAGATAACTGTGGTTAAGGAGGAAGGCGCAGAAAGCTTACTCAAGGATGTATTTTATCTCCTGGAGCTCCCAAGAGTTCTCCCCTACCAGTCGCTAACACAGATTCACAGGACTGAGCAGAAGAGTAACGAAATCATGCCGACTCTATCGACAACGAACCTCAAGAATGTTCATGCTAAAGAGCTGTTTTTTGGTGATCTCTCAAGCCTTCTTCCCAAGGACTATGTTGTCATAACTATCGACTGTTGCGCCCAATCCGGAGACTTGATATTGAGCAAGTTACAGAAAGGTCTGAGTATTCCATCATTATTGAGGCTCTCGCTGGAACGAGGTGCCTCACAGCTGACGCCATTCTGGTCAGTGATGGAAAAGCTAGTTAAAATTATCGACGAGAGTCATAAAACCACCAACCTGGATACAACTCGCAACATCAGAACGAAGGAAGAACGTAAAGACTGGTGGAAAAGACGGTTTATTCTTGATGCAAAGTTGAAGAATGTTTTGGACAATGTTGGAAATAACTGGTTAGGTGGATTTAAAGGCCTTTTGGAATTAACCGATTACTCGTCCACCGAGTTTCTTTTCTTCAAATCCGAGCTCCAAAGAGTGTGGAAAAAAAGCTTAGGAGTGAATGTCTTAGATTTCAGTGACACTATCACTGAGCTCTATTTTAATTTGACACCCTCGGGAAATGTACCATTGGAGATCAAGCATTTGCAAGATTTGATTAAGTATACTGCTTCAGAGCTTGGTGTCTCCGTCGATGAAAGAAAGCTTGTCAACGAAATTAAGAAAATTCTCCCCACTAAGAGAAAACTTCAACCTCAGCATTTGGTGCTTCTTCCAAGTCACACATGCTCGGACTTTCCTTGGGAGAGTATCGACTTCTTGAGATCGAAATCCATCTCTCGTGTCCCTAGCATAACCTGTCTTTTGGAGCTACTCAAGCGTGCTTCGGCAGACCTTAAAGACGGTCATCTGAGCTACTACGTGTTGAACCCTGGTGGTGACCTCAAGAAAACTGAGCTTAGATTCAAGACGATGTTTGCATCAATGGCCCGAAGCAATGGCATAGCAGGCCAAACTCCAAATGAAGAAGAGCTTTTCCACAATCTTTTTAGAACCGATCTTTTTGTTTACGCTGGTCATGGTGGAGGGGAGCAGTATATGAGGATGAACCAACTCTTGAAAAAGAGTATAGGTGAAAATCTTAATCTCCCACCAGCCATATTGATGGGTTGTTCCTCTGGTGCATCACAGAAGCATGGTAGGCTAGAGCCTTCTAGTAATATCATGGTTTGGCTTCTCTGCGGTTCGCCAATGATTGTCAGCAATCTATGGGATATCACTGACAAGGATATTGACGCCTTTAGCTCTGATGTTTTAGAGAGATGGGGTTTGATTGGAAATCTCAAGGAAAGAAGCGATATCGCCAGCGCCGTGGCTAAAAGTAGAGACACTTGTGTCCTCAAATACTTGAATGGAGCGGCACCCATCGTCCATGGACTTCCCATTCGTCGTCAATAAATAGATAAGGTACTTTACATCCTACTCAAATAGTTCTGAAATTTCCTGAAATCCTTGTGTCCCAAGTATAAAATATGTTGAAAAGATGGTAAAGAGAAGTGAAGTTCGTACGTTATGCGTAATAGATGCTGTGACTCTCGCCATAAACGAGAGAGCATTTGTCATGGTCCACGTAATTCGTAAGTAAATGATGCACCACAACAATTACTCTGATGCTGAATTGTGAGGCATGCCATCCGTGTTCAGAGTCATACCGTCGGCATCTGTGGAGCCGATTCTTCTGACAGTGATTGTGGCACCGCCACCACGAGATCTCTGTTCGTTGTCATTATGATGGGGGGATGAAACCTCCTCTCTTCCTTCGGTGTTCGCACGATTACCGGCAGCTTGAGTTGAGGTAGACGTTGAGGAAGCACTAGGGACACACCAATTTTTGTGGCAATGCCAGGCCCTCATTTGGCATTCTCTGGAGCAATACTTGGTTCTCTTGCACTTTTTGCACTTGCTGAACTCACGTGGGTAGCTTTCCCATTTGCCACATTCGAGATTGCCGCACTGTCTTACGCCACCTTTGAGGTCGTTACGGCGGCAAGAATTTCTCATAATGACACCAGACCAGTAGTACATGTCAGTGCCTGCCAAGAAAGTGAATTTCTCCACCATGGGGAAAAGGTTGACCCTCTTGTGTTCGATCAAGGACATATCGTAATCGCCGTGAATATTGTCGCCATCATCATCAATGTCGAAATAAGCATAAGTTTCGTAGTTCCATTTTTCTGAGAGGTACTCGACTTCTTCTGCTCTCTTCTTGACGATGGTGTCGCTCAATGCCTGACACTCTGATTCGATGTGCTTGTTCACCTTTTCACTTATTTGATAAAGAGCAATTTCCCTATCCAAATCATTGACGATAGATTCGGCGTCAATGATTTGATCGTAAAGCTTGCTAAGACTTGACAGATCGTGATTTGACATGGTGACATTGTCTTCAAAACTCAGTAAGTACTCATTGACGTCACCGTCATCGTCCTTGTTTCTATGATCACTGTCCTCGGAGTCTCCGTCGTCATCTAAATCGTTTGCCTCCGCATCTTCAGTGAGGCGATCGTTGGGTTTATCGTACAAATCCAACACATCATCGTTAAGGTTGAAGTTATCATCGCGAAGATTTAAATCACTCAGCATTTGAGGCAGATTGGATGGGGATGCGTTGAAACGCTCGAGAAAATTTTCATTGTTGTCATGCCCGTGAGAAGATAAAATTCTGCCCTTCCGTGCTAGAAGAGCTTCACGAGCATTGGCAGACAAGTCTTTTCCTCCGTTGGTTGAGCTAGAACTTATATTGGCCTTCATGCGGTCTCCAGAGAAGCTCTTGTGCTTCTTATCCCTTATACTCATGTCGATAACAGTGTGAGTGTTCTGTAAAGTTTCCTTCAAATAGGGGTACTTGGAGATGTAAGCCAATAACTGAAGACACCAAACGACGTCGTCATCACGAGGAATCACGACACCAGTCTCAGTAAAGTTTCTGGGTGCGCTCTTTGCGTGAATCATATTGGTGATATGCGTGCTGCGCTCATCTTGGAGATAGAGGTCGGAAAGAAACTGCAAGTTGCAGTCCATTTCATACTCAATAGGCTCCCTGTAAGAGGGCTCTGGGCATTCTTGTTCCTTCTCCTCCTTGATCTTCTTGAGGATGGTCACAATGAGAAAACGACGACGAATGTCGTTGTTCACTGCAGAGCCCCGGCCGCCAAGAACAGCATCCTGGCCGTTCAAACTAGGAAGGCTATTCGTGCAACGTACTAGCCGGAGCATTTGATCTACTGTGAGGTTCTCATAATCCTCGCATGTAAGACTGTTGATGTGTAAGCCTCCCATGCGAGCCATAGCGTCCGCTTGAGTCATTCTAGGCTCGTACGGTAGCTGTGGCTGGCTCATTGTGTTCTCCCCAAGTTCCATGTTTTGAAGAGCGTTTGCAGCAGCTGCTGCGTTACCAGCAGAAGCAACAGCTGAGGCTGTGGGGGTGTTGATGTCAGCGAGTTCCTGACGGGGCCTGAGTTCCCCAAGATCCTGACGAGATCGGAGTTCCTCTCTTCTTACGAAATCAGGATGCCGCGTGCCACCTTCACCAAAATTCATATACTGCCCGTTCTGAGCGTTAGGATGCATGTACGGGCAAACCGGTGGTGTGGCGCCAGCTGGGACTAAGCTGCCTTCGTGAAGACTCATGTAGTTATCCAAAACCGTTGCAATAATCGGAAGCATGCCTGCCGCCACAACTTTCAGTCGAATCTTCTCAGTGCCACCTGTGCCGATCAAAACAAGACACTGGAATGCCAAAGTCCATTTCCATGCCGTGAGTAATTTTTTCTCCGAGTTGAATATGTTATCTTGGGCGTTGAAAGTGGTATTGTGACATTCGTGAAGGATTTCCACGAGTCTCTCGATACCGCCGTCGTTGGAAAGTGTTTCTCTGACTTTTGCGCTCGATGATACCAAATATGTTAAGTGGTTGAGGGAGTTGACGAGTGGTTTATCAGCGGTCACATCAAGCGCCCGCCGGTCGTAGAGACTGGTGGTGATCGTCACCGCGGCCCTGTTGTTTGTGATGGACCTATAGTTAGAGTCTCTCATGGATATTTGATTCTTTCGTTCCTTCTGATATCTTCTTTGTGTTGAGCTGGTTGCTTGGGGTCGCCACTGATGAGGCAATTTGGGTTGGCTTTTTTTGATCACGTGACTGACCGCACACGCCCCAGTAACTTTCCGCTGGCGCTGGCGATATCGGAGCGCCACCGTATGCAGGTTTAGATTTTGCAACCATTTCGCACGTGAGCACCTAGCAACGAAACCAACCCCGTTTGTTTATGAATCTGACACCTTTGACGGCCATTGATGGCCTTTCATCGTTGACTCTTTTTCAACAAGCACAGCATATTGCCCGCCAGATCCCAGAATGGCACAAGGCAGGCCATTACAACTACTCAGTGCCTCAGGGGCACGATGTCGGTGTGGACATCCACACAAAGGAATTCAACGGCGACTATTGGGTTGCTCGTGCAAATGGATTCGAGCAGTTTGATGCAAAGTCTCGGAAACATCTTTTCCATGTTTTGGACAAGTACGTGCTTGGCTCCACCTCCCTGCTCGATGAGTCTCACACTCTGTATGAGCTCGGATATATCCAGGAGTTAGCCGACTTCAAGGTGCATCCTTACGATCTCGGTGATACGGTCCCCGGATACGAGGGCGTGGCGTATTTGGCAGAGTTGTACTATCACTTGCAGTTTCCATTGAAGAAACGTAAGTTTTGCAACTTGGTGCATGTTCTTAGAGCCGAAGATGGCAATTCTGGCTATGTGATCAGTTTGGCGGTGGATCCGTCGGTGATTCCAGGAAACCCAAAGGAGCCGGCCTTCGTTCATGCAAGGTACACATCGGTGGAATATATCACCTTTGATCCAAAGACAAGTGACCTCAGGTGGTACATGACGACTTGCTCAGATGCTGGAGGAAACGTACCACAATGGCTTGCTAAGCTCACCATCAACGGCGTTGTCGCCAAGGACGTTCATCTGTTTCTCAACTGGGCAAATACTAAGTAGATTCGGTTTCAGAGCGGAGGTTGAGCCACACTTTGACATCGTCTCCCAAGCTGTCGAGGAACCCGAGATGAGCATAATCGTACACCGAGGATGTCCACAGGCTGGCGTCCCGAATGTCTTTAGGAATGATTTTAGGTTTTTGTTTGTGGCGGGAGTTGTAGTTGCGTATGATAACGATCGACTTGTGGCGGTGCCTAATGAAGTACATGAGCCAGTCGTTGTACTTGTTAGTCGAGTACTTGTGGAGATGCTCTTTGACGGCACCATCTTGAAACAACAGCCCCGCTTCTCTCACGACAAAGTAGTCCGCTAGCTGATCATGGAGATGGAAAAACGCGTTCTGGTACTGGTAAGATACCTGCGCCATTTCCTTCCCAATATCTTGAGGAACGTCTTGAGGAAGCCACGGAAGCGAGCTCTGAAATGAGCCTTCCTTCGTATCGTAGACTATGAAGAAAAAGTCGCTGTCTATCTCGTTCGATTCATTGTTTTCGTTTCTTCCGCTGATGATGTTGTTCACGGGATTCGGCAATGAGGAAATGCTGCTTTGAAGGGTCATTCCGCCAGCAGTCAAGGCGACACAGTCGTTGATTATCTCCAATGCTGGTTCACAAACATTTCTCCTGAGCTTCTCGAAGAAACTGGCATCGGCTAGCTCCTGGAAACTGGACTCGTAGATGAGGGTTATCAAGATACTATCCTCGACGTACATCACCACCAGAAACTCTTCAATAGTAGTGGCGCCATTCTTCACAACAGGCAAGTACACCAAAAGCAGGTAGATGTTGTCGTCTTCATCTGGCCCCATAATAAATTTACCTTTCTTGGGCTCCAGGGAGGTAATTGAGGAATGTTCCGAAGGTGTTGGCTCATGCTGCAGAGGCAGCTGTGATTGGTCTTGCTGTTGCTGCTGACCACGATAGAATGGGATCCACGTTGACGGAAGCTGCTCATTCACAGTCAGTCCAAGAAACTTGATACCATCTAGAGTTGTAGAAAGCGGCAGAACCACAAGCGTCTGGGCTAAGGAAGAAGGATGAAGAAGCTGCATAGCCGTGCTTGGGGCCAATTGAAGTGGAAGCGTCTCGTCAACTTCAGGCAGTGGCGAAACATCCTTACTATCTCCACCTGAAAACATTCCTCTAAACATCCTCCTCAGACCGAGTCTCGTGCTATCGAGAGCATCGTGATAAGAGAAAAATTCGAGCAATCTGTACACCTCGAGCACAGCGTCGCCATGGATATCCCCTGGATTCTTGTATATGAGACCTTCTCGTTTTGGTATGGTCTTGTCCAAGTTGGCCACAAATACCGCAGAAGGCTTTATTGACGCTTTCTCCCAGACGGCCTCAAGATCGGGTCTTTGAGAATCAGGAATCCTGACAGACAGGGATTTATAGGAGTTGCTGGGGAAAAACAGGAAAACGCCTTGGTAACAGAGCGAGTTAGGCCAGATCAAGGCCCGCTTTAGTCTCCTCGACAAGATCCCTTCATTGTAATTATTGATAAGCCCCATGTAGAAATCCTCGAGAATTGGGCCGTGCAGCTCCTGGAAGTTGCCGTCAAACATGCTTTCGGCCTGATAATGTAGAATCTTAAAGTAGCTATGGAACCTCTGTAGGAGCCTTTCTATCTGTATCTCCACAAGTCTTCTTTGCAGATCAGAATCTGTTGACAAGGCCAAAGAGCAGGCCATAAATATCCCCTTTTCAACTTCAACAACTACTATAGCACCTCCTTCCACACTGATAGTAGTAGGGCCGCTTTTCGGATTGAACTGGGTTGCTAAGGAACAAGACCCTCGGATGAGACCGACTAGACTCAATTGGGTGGATTTGTCTATCTGATTCGAAGGATCGGCGAAAAAAAGGATCATTTTATGTAGTTCTTCGTAGGACTCGGCCTTGGCCAGCACGAGCTCGGGACTATACATGCTTATGTAATTGATGGAGGGGGCTTTGGTGTTGTCATTTGCAATGGCCAGCCCTGACACGTCAGGCATCTGGATCTTCAGGAGGAGCCCTGTGATGTAGGATGTCATGTTTCAGTTGAAATGACCAGTAGGTGAAGTTGGTAGCTTGATGTTGATAACGCGCGCGGCGAGATGCACCTATACTGCTGCAGGGTGCTGGAATCGTCAAGGCCCGGAGGACAATGGAAGCCCGAAAGTTTTTTTGGAGAAAATTGGCAGTCAAAGAATTCTTCTTAAAGATTATGATTCACAAATTTCAAAAACTCCTTGCCACGATATCTTCGTTCAAAGCCGTCGCCTTCCCTCTACTTTTCGCAGCCACTGTCTAAACTTCTCCCAAGAGTACTTATGCCCAGAGGTCAACCCAGCCAATGTTCTTTCTGACGGCGTTAGAAAATCCCTCGTTGAATTTCACCCATATTCTGGCAGACTTTTCGGCCTCCTGGTCTATTCTGCTTTGTTCGGGATTATCATCCTCTTGCGACCCGGCTACTTCACCATTAGCATCCTCTTGCGACTTGGCTTCAGCTCCCTCTTGTGACTTGGCTTCAGCACCCTCTTGCGATTTGCCCTCTTCACCGTCAGTACCCTCTTGTGACTTGGCCCCTTCACCATCAGCACCCTCTTGTGACTTGGCTTCTTCACCATTAGGGCCTTTTGACTCACCCAGGGTATCTTTCTTCAAATGCATCCTTAAAAAAAAGTCTGGTGCACTCACTTGCTTCCTTGGCCGCTTTGGCTTTGGAGCCGTAGGAGCGACCCTCAGTGCAACACGCTTTACCCTTTGAGCCATGGTCAAATCAAATTCGGCTTGAAGGAGAGGAAACAACCAGTTACGCTTTGTGTTGAGCAACTTGCTCTTTTGCGTCAGTAAAACCGGCGCAGAGTCCGTTTCAAAAATGGTGATCGAGTCCCAGTTTGGTCCAAATGCAAGAGATACACTTCCTGTCTCCATGTTCTTCAGCGTTTCGAGCCTGAGGCCAAGCAGCTTGACAATATGCGCAGCTCGTTCTACCAAGCGTTGCTCACCCACACGTAACGTCAGCTTCACCCGTGAAGAGCCGGTATTCGGTGATAGCATGATGTCAAGCATCGGAAGGAATTGACATGCATAAAAGTCAGAGCTTGCGGAACAAGAGAGCTTCAAGCTGATAGGAAGGTTCTCGGTGATAGCCATGAGTATAGACTTGTTCTGCTTATTAAGCTCCATAGTCTCGAAGTCCAAGCTTTTTGCATTGGGTACTATCACTGTTTCATGATTTCTAGGCGGATCGATCTCACTGAAGAGAGACCAAAACTTGAGCGGTGCTAGCGTAGAGTATCCAGCTGGGTCACCACCAGGACGTGAATGGAACCTATCGTAGTAATGTAGCCAATCTGAGATTTCGGCAGGCCGTACGAGTGAGTCGTCCTGGAAGTGAGTTGCCTCGAGATACCGGTTGAAGCAGCCACGAATGACTTTGTCGAGCGAAGCTGAGGAAGTGCCTTCTCCTGATAAAAGCATATCGTAGACGTTTAAAGCGTCCTCGTCCTTTGAAAGATACCGGTCTCTTGCAAAAAGCCTATCCACAAGCGCAAACCAGGACACATTTTTGTCCTTCGAGGAGTAGTTACCGTTGTTCTTTCCGAGATGAAGAGCCTTGTCGAGTCTGCGGCCGGCAAATTGCATTTGGTTGATGCAAGCACGCATATCACCTTCACATGTTTCGAACACATCTGCAATCTCCTTCCTGTCCATTTGGAGGCCCTCTTTGTTTGAAATATCCATCAAGTACTCCTTGACGGTCTTTTGGGCGCTAACATTCACTCTTTGCATTTTACCGGGCCCTGAACGAGCGGTGGCTACAGGTCTTCTGAACCCCACGAGCTCACAAAGCGGACGTAGCTTTTCCATAGCCTTTCCCGAGAAGGCGTCGTTGGCAATGCAAATTATAGGCCTAGCAAGCTTGAATTTTTTAGAATTGACAATCTCCGAAATCACCCTCACCACGTCGTTGGCGTTGGCTGCACAGTCCACCTCATCTATCACGAGACATGTTGGTTTGTCCATGCACATCACGTCGTTCGAAGTAAGAGCGATCTTCATACGATGACGTAGCTTTGCGAGCTGCCTTGAATACGCGTTCGAAGAGCTATCACCACGGTCATTGTCTAAGGCGTTTGCTGCATTCACTTCGTAGACTCCGTAACCGGCCTGGTTGGCAAGAGCATGCACCGCTGCCGTTTTACCCACACCGGGAGGACCGTGAACGAGGAGCACTTTCTTCTCTTTCTCTCGGAGCCGAAGCCAGTGCATGATGGAACGGTAATGACGCTCGTTCCCTGCTGGACAGAGCGAAAAGAAGGCCTTAGGACGGTACTTTTCTGTCCATACACCGCTGTCGCCTTGAGTAGCTGATAATTTGGCCTTTTCGCTGATTCTGCTTCTCCTCACCTCGTTTATGGCGTCCCTGGTCGTTCTTCTCTTTTCGACCTGTTCATGGAGCTTATCCATGTCTAGGATGGTATCCGAGTAGTCCACGCTGACGGGTTGTGGTGTTCTCCTTTTGAGAAAAATCTTTTTTCCATTGAACAACTTTACTTCTTTTGAGCCTTCAGGCCTGTTTTCAGAGACATTCTGCTCAGAAGGAGCTTGAGTGAACTGAAGCGGCGAGCCTGGATCAGCCTGGGGCTGGCTTTGTGAAAACAAGAGGGAATCCTCGATTCTGATTGGCTCCTCGGGCTGTGTTTGAGGCTGAAACAAGAGGGAGCCTTGCATATCGAAGTCCATGATGAGTGGGTTTCGAAGGTGGTTTGAAATATCAACAACGCGACGCGCGGTGTAGGTATAGGACGAGGGTGCATCTTGGGGAGGTGACGGATGAAGAAGGAATGGTTTGAAATACTTTTTTGAAATAGATTTGTGAAATGTTTGGGAGTTTGATAGAAAAAGACGGTTTTTGTTGCAGAAAGGTATAGTTTAGATTTGGGGTGGGTGGTTGGATTGGGTGGTGAATAACTTTTCGCAGCCATCTCCAAGGAAAGAAGCATGGGTCTACAGAAGGTGTGATAAGGAGGTAGAAAATGAATTGTGAATAGTGGAGAATTGACAAAACAGCTTCATGATGGAGGTTAAATAGTTTTTTTTTTTTTTTTAAAATTTAACGTCAAACTGAACGAATTGTATGGGCCTACTGATCGGACTCAAGCAGGTATCGTAGTGCAAGGATACACACATTCTTACCATATATCTACTCATGCAAAACACAAGATAACACTGATTCCGCCTTTCTAGGATCAATACTGGAGAATTTTGACATCAACAAAAATCCAGCTTTTTCTTGTGAATGTTTGCGTTAGTACTTGAGAGCTACCTCACTCTTACCACCTTGCATAGATACCGTTAGGAACATCACTTCAGGCGAAAAAGCCTAACTTTAAGGTTTTGGCGAATCGTAACCGAATCAGCAAAACTCACAATCGACCGCCAATTTCACAAATCCTCCATATCCACAAAAACCTAGCCCTCCATGGTCCGCCAAGGAACCATGACTACACCGTTCCGACACCGTTTGGACAACCAGCAGCCACCTCATTACCACCAAACCCACCAAAATCCAAGTTCCCACAACACCACAAAAACACCACAAATCACAAAACACCACCTTCTCCTCGCCCTCCAGATCCCTATCCTTATCGCTTCCATCGACCATTTAGCACCCCATGCAGCCGCATCCAACCACAACCCACAAATCCACAAACAAGACCAAACAAGACCCAAACAAATCAAAAAATCAGAAAAAGAAAGCCCTCCACAAAATCAAAAAACTTCTTCCAGAAAAACGCCCCTCCAAGAAAAACCCACCCTCTGGCGGATCGGATCCACCATCTTGGCTGGTGTACATGGCCGCGCAGATCCACCTCACTTAAAACCAACCTCAACTTCCTTTTCTTCATGGGCCCCATCGTAGTGAAACGAGTGAGGCTCGCCGTGGCCGTGGCGGTGGTGTTGGTGTTGGGAGTGGTGATGATTTCCCAAAGAAGCAACCACAAAATCACCAACGACTTTCTATCCAGCGTCAAGGCGTACACGGAGAACGTGCCTGGGTTTCTGAATCCTAGGCCTGACGAGATAGACGACGCTGACGTTAGCGACTTTTTGGGCGACACGCTGGAAATCGACCAGTACGAGCCTAGGCCGGAAAACAAGTACAACGACGTGGATCACGAGACGGTGGTGCCTTTGGAACCGTCCTTATCCTTGGGCATGGGCATGTACCCAGACCCCACGACATTCCCAGAGGTGCCTGCCAAGAGCTACCCGAAGATCGGCGCCTTGGAGGACCTGAAATTCACCGACAAGTTGCCCTTCCGCATCTACTCCCACAACATCAAGAACGGCGGTACCCACAAGCTCGAGCTAGGGGAACCCGTCTGGGAAACACGAAAAACAATGGTGGTGGCGTCGATCCGGGCCCACTATGCCCCGAACATGATTGTGGCGCTTCAGGAGGCCCAGAAGTTCCAGATTGACGATATCTTGCATGGGCTCAACATGATAGAGGAGCCTGGGTCCCAGTGGAAGTACTACGGCGGCGGCAGAATCGACGGGAAGCTGATGGGCGAACACGTGCCGTTTTTGGTCAAGGAGGACGAGTTTGACGTGGTCTACGACGACACCTTCTGGCTCAACGAGAAGAACCCCAGAAGACCGTTGGTGGGCTGGGACGCCAAGTACCCACGAAGCGCCACGTACGTGACCATCAAGCACAAGAAAAGCGGCACCTACCTCAATTTCTTCAATGCCCACTTTGACCACAAGGGCCTGACCGCCAGAGACGAGTCGGTGCAGTTGCTTATGGAGAAGATGTCCAGCGTCAACGAATGGCCGTCGTTCTTGTGTGGTGACTTCAACGCCAAACCCAACGAGGAGTGCTACAAGAGCATCAGCAAGCAGTACACGGACGTGCACACCATCACCTCCTCCTACAACTGGTACGGCCATCCGGACTACTCGGTGACCGGGTTCAGAGGAAACTACCTCAAGGACGCCAAGCGCATAGACTACATATTTGCACCCCAACACATTGTCAAGGCGCTGGAGACGCTTTGTCTGGATTCGGTGGACGGGTACCTGCTTCAGCTCCGCGGCTACGGTATGCTCCATTCCAAGTTTGGCGGCGTCTACATGAGCGACCATCGTCCGATCATGGCGGATTTCATCATGAAGAAGTGTTGAGGGGAGACTGGCCGGGGTGTATAAATAAAACGAGGAGGCCATCGACAGTCGGCAGTGCAGCACTGTTTGCCGGGCTGGATTATAGACGAATGGCTGCCTCTGAGCATAGACTAGAAGTCTAGACATAAGGAACAAAGAGGATATGAAAGCAGGTACGCATCTGTAGGAGTGGGTGGTATCTATACTGATTGGCTGCGAAATCACCAACCCCCAACTATCACAAACCAAAACGGTCCGATTTCCCTAAAATGACCATCAAGTAATCAGGAAGGTCAAAATACGTGACTTCCAAAACCTCTGCCTTCAATTTGACTCCCCCATGTTCGATTTTTCAGTCTCCACATTCATCAGCCCTACCACTCATACGACCAAACAGGCTGCGAAACACAATCACGTCAAAACCACCAACCAAGCCAAAAGCAACGACCAAATCCTACATTAAATAACTCTTCAAAAAATCACCATCCATTCCAGTCCCTGTCGGCCCCAGGTATCCCAAAAATCCAACACCCCAATCCTGGGTCGTGCACACCCTAAAGAAAAATTCTCAGTAAGAGCTCTTCACCAACTAATACCACCACCATGTCTTACGACGATATCGAAAACGCCACGCCCGACATTGTGATCGGGTCGCAGATCCCCGAAGACGATGACTTGGTGTACGAGCACGACGTCGAGTCTGGCGGCGAAGAGCCCGAAACAGAGGCTCCAGTGAAGGAGAAGAAGCTGGTGGCTTTTGCCGGTTTGGACGATGAGTTCGATGCCGAGGCGGCCCAGAGAGAGTTTGAAGAAGGAGGCGGTCTTCCGGAGCAGCCCGACGATGTGGATCTTTCCACCTTGACCCCCACCTCGGCCGAGATCATCAACAGACAAGCCACCATCAACATCGGTACCATTGGACATGTGGCCCACGGTAAGTCCACCGTTGTGCGTGCCATTTCCGGAGTGCAGACCGTTCGTTTCAAGGACGAGTTGGAGAGAAACATTACCATCAAGTTGGGTTACGCCAACGCCAAGATCTACAGATGCAGCGACCCCAAGTGCCCTGCTCCAGGATGCTACCGTTCGTTCAAGTCCGACAAGGAGATCCACCCCAAGTGTGACATTCCTGGCTGCGAGGGCCGCTACAACTTGGTCCGCCACGTGTCCTTTGTCGACTGTCCCGGTCACGACATTTTGATGAGTACCATGTTGTCTGGTGCAGCCGTCATGGACGCTGCTCTTTTGCTTGTGGCTGGTAACGAGAGCTGTCCACAGCCCCAGACCTCCGAGCACTTGGCCGCCATTGAGATCATGAAGTTGAAGCACGTTATCATCTTGCAGAACAAGGTCGACTTGATGAGAGAAGAATCTGCCTTGGAGCACCAAAAGTCCATTTTGAGCTTCATCAGAGGTACCATTGCCGACGGCGCTCCGATCGTGCCCATTTCGGCCCAGTTGAAGTACAACATCGACGCCGTCAACCAGTTGATCTGCGACTACATCCCTGTTCCTCCCAGAGACTTCATGGCCTCTCCTCGCTTGATTGTCATTCGTTCCTTCGACGTCAACAAGCCTGGTGCCGAGATCGAGGACTTGAAGGGTGGTGTCGCCGGTGGCTCCATTCTTAACGGTGTTTTCAAGATTGGCGACGAGATCGAAATCAGACCTGGTATCGTCACCAAGGACGACAGCGGCAAGATCCAGTGCAAGCCTATTTTCTCCAACATTGTTTCCCTCTTTGCCGAGCACAACGACTTGAAGTTTGCCGTCCCCGGTGGTTTGATCGGTGTTGGTACCAAGGTCGACCCTACTTTGTGCAGAGCTGACAGATTGGTTGGTCAGGTTGTCGGTGCCAAGGGCCACCTTCCCTCCATCTACACCGATATCGAAATCAACTACTTCTTGTTGAGAAGATTGTTGGGTGTCAAGACCGAAGGCCAGAGACAGGGCGCCAAGGTGCGTAACTTGGAAACTGGTGAGGTGTTGATGGTCAACATTGGTTCGACTGCTACTGGTGCCCGTGTGGTTGCCGTCAAGGCCGATATGGCCCGTTTGCAGTTGACCTCTCCAGCATGTACCGAGGTGAACGAGAAGATCGCCTTGTCCAGACGTATCGAGAAGCACTGGCGTTTGATCGGCTGGGCCACCATCAAGAAGGGTACCACCTTGGACCCTGTTGCATAGGCGATTTCACAGAACAGCATCTCTTGCACGGCAAGTCTCTTTCTCTCTCTGTATTTATAGTCATTCATATCCGGAAACGAGGTGCTGTAGGGCTTTTCTATGTCATGAACAATATAAACGTCATATATAATGCTACTCCATGTAAGTCTCAGCTATCGCAGGCGAGAATGTGTTGGTAGTCGCTGCTGCTGATGAACTTGGGGTACGAATCGATCTCCATGAGTCTAAAGATCGATTTGGCAATCTGACGAAACACCCTGTGGATGTCTTCAACCAAGGCCACCGTCTGCGTCAAATCACCGTTTTCATATCGGAAATAACTTGGTTTTTCCAGGCTGGCAGGGCTGTCTAATTCAGTGATGTCTAGCTCACCCACGAATCCTTTTTCAACCATCGGCGTCATCATATAATCAACAGAAGGCAGCATGGGCCCTTCCAACGTCATGAGGTTCTGGGCATCTTGTCGAAGCTTGTAGTCAATATTCAAGTCAAATTGCAGGTCTGGACTGATGTACGCTGAGTAAAGTTGAAATGCTTTGGAGTAGAATTTGTTGGTGTGAAACTCAATTGCATTGCGGACCTTGATCTTTCTTGGACCATCTTCGAGTGTGTTATAATGCGAGTAAAGCTTCAACACTTGTTGCTCCAGGCTGTTGAAGTCCGAAAGCTGAACATATGCATTGACGTTTTCGACACATCTTTCCTTCTGCATGTGCATCTTGAACAAGAGACGTAAACCGGGGTCTTTGAGGATATTTTTAAGGGAGGGTCCCTTGTAGGAAGCGCCGATTTTGATCTTGTTAGAAGCATCCAGTAGCAGCTCACCTCGAGACTTCTTACGACGACCCCAGTTACAGACTTCGCTGCCTCGTTCAGTCAAAACGTAAAAAGCATTTCTCTCGTTCAGAAAGGTTTCATCATCCAAAGTGATCGGGCGTAGTAAGTTTGCCTCTATGAAGAGCTTGGCTATGCTAATGGCCTCAGCAGTTGTCGTCACACTAGAGCAGTCACAGAGCCATTGGACTATCGCCTTACCTGAGACACAATAATCCACCATAACTTTCTTGTCATCATTGATGAAAGTCTTCAGTTTGAAGAGCCTCACGCCGGTATTGGATACGTAGTATTGAACGTGCGAGTCAGACTCGGGATTAGTGAAGTACTTGTGATGAAACGGACTCACACACTGGGTCGTCGACTTGTCTTCCAGCGTCAGAAAGCAATCTCCTTCGGAAGAGCTAGAAAAGTCAAACGTGTCTCCAGAAGTGGTGTCGTAGAAAACACAAGATGCTGCATCAGGAGCCTTCTCCGAGGACCAGATGTTGGGACTCGGTCCCATTACCCATGAGAATAGAATGTGCACTAAGTAGCTTGAGTATAAGATGCTTTCACTAGCGGGGGATCGTTCAAGCATGAAGAGCTCCATAGTATTGATGTTGGACTTCACAATTGCTGGCATGCACTTAGAAGGCATACCGATATTCTGACAAAAAGCGTGCACTAACGCTGCACCTTTTGGTGTGACTTGAAGGGTACCATGTCGGCTAAGCTTGGCTTCAGTCCTCGAGTTAGGGTAATGAAGAAGTTTTGCATCGAAGAACTTTCGAAGAAGATCAAAAGCAAGATTGGGCTTCATGCTATATGCAACGGTAGTTTTGGCCATTCTGAGCTCAATATCAATGGTGAGGTTGCACAATTTCTGCACTGCATCTTCAACAGTGAAAGTGAACGGTGGTGGTGGCTTTCCAAAAAACGAGGACTTTGGTTTTCCACGACGATCATCGAGATTCAAGCCAATGATCAATGCCTCGAATACGTTTGAAAAGCTTTTTCCAGCGGTGACGTTGACCTTCTTCACTTCCTTTGCCGAGGTGTCCAGTGATCTCCCAGAAGAAATAGAGCTTGTCATTGTCAAAAATGCAGACACAAAATGATGTCAAAAGTTCGCTTCCCCTGGTTTTATATAATAATTCAGGCACGGGCAAATTTTTGACACAAGTCAGCTGAGATTGTTTCAGACTGCTTATAGATGTTTCAGAATGAAGATATTTTATCGTAAATATGCACGATCCAGCAAAAGTGTGCGGCGCTATCCACTAATTACAGTGGCTTATCTCGCGCTTCGCCAAAAATGAAATTCGTAGAAAATAATCGAAACTAGAGCTTCGTGAGCTTCTTGTAGAAGTCGCCATCTGGAATAAGCTGGCCTAGCTCCTCAAGTGTAATATCAACTTGTAACGTTTTCGACACATCCAAAACCACCTGCTTGTACATATTGAGATTATTGTTCGCGTTCACCTCGTTGTTGCTGGTGATTGCATCAAAGAGGAGCCCGTATTTGTAGAGATTGTCCCAGCAATCGCGCATAATTTTAGACGAGAGAATCCTCTGGTTGACCTTGATACCTGCAAGGACGGTGTTGTCAATATGCGAAGTGTTCGAGGAAAGCGTGGTGGCCTCGGCATTGAACTGTTTCATCATGTCGGTGTACTCCTTGTATGCCAAGTTGAAGTTGACCTGTGGAACCTCAGATTTGACAATCCACCGTGATGCCGCTATGGTAAGTAGAAGTTCTGCACCTGACAAGGATCGAATGATTGACTGAACCGTTCCCGGGGACTGCATCAGGATGTACGCCTCCAACTTTGATTCGTTAAAGAATGGCTGAGATGGGCTTAGAAGTGACACAGGAACCATGAAGCTATTATTTAGATCTTTGTAGCTTTTGGTGGAGAAGAAGATTTTGTAAACGACCCTGGCAAGTTTGGAAGGGCGATCAAACGCTTCGTCGATGTTTTGGTTCCATTGTGTTGGGTACGTTACGTCCTTGAATTGGCTCATGGCCGATGAATGCACCTTTAGGGAGAGCTTTGCGCTCGCCCAAAAATCCTCAACAGAAGTCGGCAAGTGTGTGGTGATGATACGTTGACTGAACCGACTGCGGACCCTCTTTTCGAGAAGCTCTCTGGTAGTGAACTTGGTACCCACACCAATTACACCGATGGGGATCTTGGAGCTCTGTGAGAGCTCGAATAGGTTGTAGAGAAGGGTTTGCTTGTTGGAGGCAGTGAACATCTCGATCTCGTCAATGATGAACACCACGGGCGTGGAGCTTTTGAAGTCCTCATCAGACTTGTTGGGAGAAGCGTTTGAATCCAAGGCCAAGAGGACGTTCGTCACGGTGTCACTGATGGCACGCTGCTCGAAGGTCCTGGTTCTGTCATCAGTCCCACTGGTATTGAGATCCAACTGACGGGCAATCTCTCTAAAGGCGAGGTTGTCGTCGGTGTGGAGAAGAGCATTGAGTTTGATTATGATGAACAGCTTGCCGTAATGCTCTCGAAGACTCGAAAGTGCACGATTCACCACGAGCGTCTTTCCAGTGCCTCTGGGGCCAATGAGAAGAGCTGACGTGCTTTCACGATCACCCACTGTGTGTTGTAGCACCTTGTGGACATCCTTGTATGTCTGGGCAAGCAGGGATTCCTCGAGCGCCGGGAACTCCCTTCCTGTCAATTGAGCCATCACCGTTCTTTTTAGTAGCCGTGTATCGTCAAGACCATCAGTTTCGTCCAGAACACTGTCGTTTGGTTCCCTCTTTCCAGCAAATGAGCCATCGCCATCTTGGCCAATTGCATCATCCGCATTCTCATTATCACCCCCTAGATCTCCATGGTCATTACCCTGGTCCAGTGCGTTATCAGGCTGACTTCGTGAGTTCTCCAGATTATGCGACACGTCCTTCTCCACGGTCTCTTCGGGCCGATCTGCGTCACTGGCCTCTTCCTCCTTCTTGATCGAATACCCCTTGGGTAGCGGTATTAGCCTGACGCGTTTTTGTGGTTTCACGCTCTGGCGTAGTTCCTCAATACCGCTAAGACATATGCGTTTGCGGGGCTTTTTCTCGGTCTCTTTGAGTTTCTTGAGCTCCTCTATGCCTCGGAGTTGGAGCTTCTTGCGTGGCTTTGTTGTGTAGTGCTCGTTTGAAGCAGCTTTATCGTTGGCATCGAAGAAGATCTCATCGTCAGATACGGATTCCTGGTGTACAAGCTCAGAACGGGGTTTTCTTTCGTTTTTAAGGCGCTGGACAAATTTATCCTGTTTCATCTCCTCGAGCAGGCTTCGTTTTAGGGACGCAAACTCCCCGTCGAAATCCAGAAACGACATGTTGATGGTGGTATGTTTTGATGATGTGCGCGCTTTACAATGGATGCAAGTGATGGTGTTGATGTTCAGGGAAGGTGGATAACAAAGGGTGGAAAAAAAGGAAAGAAAAATTGGGACTTGAAGGATTTTGATTTTTGGGGTTTTTGGTGGAATCAGAGGTTTTAGAGAATTTGGCTACGTAAGGTGAATACTGATATCCTATTTGCAACCACATCTACAAGCGTAGCATGTCAATTCTGAGTATGTCACCAAACGAACTGGTCAAAAAGTCAACGTGATGTGAGAACGTCAAATTACTAGAATCTTCAACATCTACAACCAAATTCGAAAAAATCCAATTTTTGAACAATTCTCCATAGCAGTATGGACCCTGCGACTGACACTCATGCATCAGAGTGCGTTTTCCTAGGCTTAACACCATGCTTATGCGTCAATTTGCAGCCATTCCAAGATGCCACTGGAAAATGTGCTTTTCTGTTTCAAAGCATTGATCCGTTTTTCTCACATACTCCTTTTTTAACCTTTTTTCATGAAAACCCTAAAGTGTGCCTCCCTTCACGCATTGCTCACCACAGACACCATGCTGAGTAATGCACAGCAACTGACCGAAACCATGAAAAATTTAAAAAACCAACCCATCCATTCTTTACTACCTAAAAGAAAAACGCCCCCTCCTCATTTAAATATTTCCCGTTTGCCCCCCACAGCTTACCCCCACAGCTCACCTCGATCTCCTGCGTGATATCCTTCCTCACCAACTACTCTCTTCTTATGGAATCAGTCACCCAATTACCAGAGCACGTCACCAAGTTGCTCAAATCCAAGCGATACGTGCACTTGGCCACGTGCAACGCCAACATCCCCCATGCATCCTTGATGAACTACACTTTCTACTCCAAAAACGACAAGCCTTACATAATCATCAGCACCCCCAGAGACACGACGAAATACCGCAACATCGAGGCCAATGAAAACGTGTCTCTTTTGATCCATGATTGGGTCGCCGGAGACGAGGAGGTGGCTCCTCCTACAGGAAGAAGAAACTCGTTGTACGAGCTTTTGGCCAACATGAACAAGGCTGAGATACGCAGTGTGTCTGTCATGCTCAACGGAAGAGCCCGGGTGATCGACCCAAAGTCGGAGGAAACGGACTACAAGTTCTACAAGTCGTTGCATTTGAACAATGGCTTGGTGGACGACGCTCAGGCCGAGACGTTTATTCTGAATGAGTGCAACAGCATTGTCTTGATCACAGTGGACCTGTGTCAGATCACGGACACGAACAACAAGGTCCAGACATACGAACTTAGCTAATATACGAGGTAGCAATTGATGGTTGAGCAAAAAGCAAAAAAAACTGCCGGCCCCAGGAATCGAACCTGGGTCTGTTCGGCCACAACGAACTGTACTGACCACTATACTAGACCGGCGTGCTATGGAGGAAAGGTTGGGGGGTTTAATATGAAGAGATGTTTGAACAGATCTAGGAATTTGCAATACTTGATCAGTTTAATGTTTTTATTGAGGTCTAAGGATTACGCTGCTAGCGCAAAAGCCTCTAAATCCACGATTTGATAGAAATGCATATATCTACCGCCACAGTCAGTATTTTTAGTAATTAAACCAACAAGTGTATTAAAGACAGTTCAATGATGTAGCGAAACTACTTTCAGCTCCTTGGGACTCGGTGGTGTCTATTTATGCTCTTGACACTCCTCATCATCCTCAGACTGTTAGGATCGCGCAGACCAGTGTTCCTCTTTTAACGATTTATTAAAATTAAAAGAACGCCAGAAGAACAAAATCATTTCAACAAAATCTACATACTTTTAAGGCTTTTTAAAAAAAATCGCCTCTTGCAGCAAAAAAAAAAGAAAGACGTCAACTCCTCAACATGTTTTCAACAGAAGCTGAGTGAACCCTGGGAATGCGACAAAAGAACCTCTCAAGCCATAAAGTCTCTGAGTCGCTGCTGAATTTTCCATAGTTCAGGCAACTTCATGTCATCGTGCTTAGGATCAGCCACAGCTATATATCGGTACATTCCCAGAATCGAAGGATACTAAAGTTGATCATTCAATCCATATTTCTTTCGAATCAGGTACGTTCTCCTGTCTTGACAATATGGCTCAATCTTTAAGTTCATAGGACACATTTTAGTCCATATCTCCAAGGGAATTAGGCCTCAGGAAGTCAGGTTTGTGCCACCAATGCGTTGACACTTCACAGACATTGTATTATTGTCCTGTTGTTTGATCTCATGATTTCCTTATCACAGAGCAGACAGGTTCGGAGTATCTCTCATTATCATTGCAAGGCACATATGGACCAAAATTGAAGAAAAGGAAGGCGGTAAATCGTGTCGTTGTGGTCACTCATCTACGTTAAGCTTTTCACACCTCCCACTACTTTAGCAGATGAGCAAAACACTGGGGCTTAATTGGTGGAAGAGAATCTTGAATCATCTTTATTTTTGATCAAAACGCAGTTAAACTACACCTCCATCGTCTTTCATAAGCTCCACTTGCTTCTTGGTTTGGGTTTGAAATCCCTAACTCCATAATATAAGACTAGGTATCAGAGGTTTCTAGCTAAAGGGAACACACAATTGAACATTTTAGCAAGCTCAATTGGGACATTCGGGTAACCGACTTGGAGGTCTGGTACAAATGTAAGCTCTTCTGAAGGTTGTTCCTACAGAGATTTAGTTTCTGTGCTCTAATCAAGAAATATTTTTCTGGAAAAAACATATCACTGTCAACGCTCTATATGACCTCGAACAGGCCAGCAGTTGAAAACCTCTCGGAATACGAATAGATTACAGGAAACTCAAGCATGATTTTACTACTGTCGACCATCTTTTCCACGCGCAATTGTCAGTGAAATACCTTGGTGTAAACCTAGTTCGAGATGATTGGGCAAAATTCACACCCTCCCTCCGATTTATGACGTCAAAGACCACAATAATTCCATATACGAAGTGCTGGGCTCCGAACCACCTCCATGTTCAACGACGCTTTTTGTGAAACCACGTGTTTTTCCATTGTCGCCCGCTAGCCACCCCAGCTGACCAAAAAACCATAAACACTCTGGTAGTGAATTGAGAGGACGTTTCGGTTTATCGCTTTTAAAGCCGAGGAGCAGGTGAGTGAGACCCCGATCCTGAAACGACCTTCCCTCGACGTCATCAGCGAAAAACAAAAAAACGCCAAGGCTTCGTAATAATTACAAAAGTCAGCCAACTCTGGTTAGGAAAATCAGCCAAGCTCTTAAGTTAGCCCATATCAGGTGACCGACTCACGGACATTCCTGAACGGCTATACCCCACGCCGGCACATCTCGCCTATGCACACCGATGCATCCCATACAAAGGCATGCAGCACCGAAAGCTGGTATATATATCTCCGTCGACCCCCAACAATGAAAATTTCGCTAACCACCAAAAAAGAGCCTGATTATGACACAATGGGCAGCATTATTAGTAATGATAACGGTTGGAGTACTTATTATCCTCATGGCTAGAGAATTGGGTAAACTGACTCAACGTATCCTTGGCTGGAACTATTTTCAAGTTGGCAATAACGATGAACAACTGTCCCTTCCTTTATAAGGCATTATGCAATGACTCCACAGACACGGTCGTGGCTACTGTGGTCACTATCTGCCGCAGTTGATGCAATTGATGGTTTAAAAAACCGATTTAGACGGATTCGCTTTAAGTCAGTTTGGCTTCGAACTAGGTAGCTGGAATACCCTGGTTTCGTTTGGTAGGAAAAGCTCAGATTTTGTCCAAAGCATACATTGTCGCTCGTTATTCTCCACAACTGATCAGACAAGGAAAAAAGTGTCTTTTTCTAGAGTGTTCCCAGCTACATGCTGGCCAAAAAGACTATGTAACTAAAGTCAAAACTAACCTTTTACTTACGGCTTGACAGATACATGACCACATTGCTGCAGAATTGAGGAAATCGTATCTGATCTTCAGAAGGTGTTCTTTGACTTGAGCACAGACCTTCAGTCGTATACCTTGTCTATAAATCCATAGGTAGAGATTGGTTCCTCAAGACTTTTTGGTATAGTACGGCTTTAGCCTTTCAGTCAAGGCTTTGAAGGTTCTCAGTTGACGTATCCTCCGTGAGGGAGGTCCAGGGGGTATGGCAAATGAATCTAGTAACACGGCATTAGCTGTAGATATGTTGTAGCATATAAGTGCCGTCCATTTTAAGCACAATTGACGTTAATTTGGCTTCGGATGGGCGGTATAGAGTTCCGGAACATATGAGCTAAAGGTAAAGCGAAGTGTTGCTGTGAAGTCATTACGCTTAACAAATTCTTCTGTGTAAGTTAATCCAGAGTTGTCCCATCGGACAAATCTTTCTGAACTTCTCCCACACAATAAAATCTATCCCCTTCATTCACTTTACTTCTAAACTGCTTCATCAATTTGATTACCGAATGTCGGCCGGTAGGGTCATGGAGATTCGTGTTTCGCAGCCATTGGTGAGGCTCATGCACGGACTCGCTATTGTGATTCTGAACAAAAGCTGGGTAATTTCAAAAAGAACAATCAGGTTCCCATTTCATTTGATGCGAGGCTTGGAAGTTCAATAAGAGCTTGAATTCCTTGGATGTCCGTAATGTCGCCCTTTTTATCAATTGGGGATAAGTGGTTCACTAGTGCCTCCAGGCTTTGGTGTATCTACACTCAGTCTTATACAATCTCGGTGAATAGCTTTCAAAATCACAGATCCCTCCGACCTTCAAACAACGTCTTGAGAAACACAAAAAAAAAAAAAGCCAAGGCTTCACCCTACCCATATCTACGTCACCACTTATACCCGTATCGGCACACAATACCTCGTCTATGCATATCTATACGTCCCATATACAGACACACCACCCATACATTGGCATATATATCTACCTCCCCCGGCCCCCTCGCTGCCCACCTGGAAAATAAAAAAATATTTTAAATCATGAGTGAATTCTCAACAGCCATCATTATTGTCTTCTTTGCAATGATCTTGATAGTACTCTCATTTTTTATGTTTATGAGACATGTATTCAGCTTAACCCCACCAATTAATCAGTTCTATCCGGACATCGGCAGAATCCGCGTTGACGATAGCGATCACGATCACGAACGACCTAAAAGCCCTCAACAGGCTTGCTGATGTTAGCTTGAAGATGGTCATTGACAGACTGTGAAATCCGTACCGAATCTACTCGAATCATTCTCCAAAACTTTGGATATGAGAGAAGGAATTATCGAAGCTGTCAAACGATTAGATTTGAAGTTGTTTAGTCTCGTGAGGTAATACGATGAAAAAGGCTCACAATTGCAACGTTTAGGATGGATGTAATTGAGGCGGTGACAGATGTGCTTTCTTTGACCTTTATCATGAATGCCAGAGTAGTCAACAACCGTGTTCGTTGCTCGACGCAAAAGAAAACTTCAAAGCGATTGCAGAAGGCATTGGTTTGCAGGCCAAGATTGGGAAATATGTGATTGAGACAGATACAATTGCAAGACGAATCCAAACCATGCTTACCTATCGAGATTTGACTTTCCAGGACAGTCGAACCATAAAATGAAGAAATGGTTGGGTGGTTAAATAAGAATGGCTTATTGGATAAAATTATGCTAATTGAGGTCTCATTATAACGCTAGCACGCAATCGTGCTGCAAAAAGTACATGTCAGTTGAAGCCTTGCCTTGGCGATTTTGTCAGCTATAACGAAAGCGCCACCTTACAAAGCAATTGTGTCTTTCAGCTAATGTAAAAGCACACAAATATACGGCCACAGCTCCAGACGGTATTCCAAAATGTAGAGCAATGAAACTTTTAAAAACAGTGCAAAGACGAATCAGATGTATTTTCAGCTCCGTGGGTCTCGGTGGTGTCTATTTATGCTCTTCACACTTGAATGGAGACAAACGAGAAATATCACACAACGAAATGACAGTGTACATGATTGGGCTCATAATGGGCGGCTGATTCCTACCCCTAAAAGAAACCGATCACCGGGTCCACAGATCAAAATGCTACCTGGATCGCTTGCCGGATCTCCCGATCAAGCCGATGATCTGTGCCTGAATCTATTCATTACTAATTTCTCTTTATTAGAGTAAGAAAATACAACGAATATCAAGTCTACACCCACTCTCGTTCGATAGCTCCATTCATAAGTATACAGTAGCCTTCCTGGCGGCTGACAGTCTATCTGATGCAAGAAGGACCCCGGTCCGTATCACGCCAGCTCTAGAAGAGCATATCTAAGGTACAGCAGATACACAAACCGGCCAAACATGCCATCAAGCAGTTCTCGTTACCGCTCGAACGTTTCTGCTGAACATAGTACTGCTGTTGCGGCTGCTGTTGGTAGTATCCACCGCCCTGTGGTGGGGGACCGCCGTAACCTTGCTGCTGGTATCCACCGCCGTAACCCTGTTGAGGGTATCCGCCACCGTATCCTTGTTGGGGGTATCCACCACCTTGTTGATAACCTTGCTGATACTGGGGCTGGCCTTGTGGGGCGTAACCTCTTGAGGTCTGGCCTGCACCTTCGTCGGACACAGTAGGCTGCTGCTTGCTGTCGGACCAGTTTGGTGGAGGACCTGTGGGAGGATTATAAGACATGGGAGGAAAAGATGGTGATGAAGTGTAAATGTTGATTCCAAGAAAAGAGCCGGGGTGGCGCTGTGTGCAGTACCCACTGATTTTAGAGGATCGGTTAGCGAGCGGTCTGGAGCCGGGGTTATGAGGGATGACGTGGATTGAGGAAATTGTTTTTTTAAATTTGGTGGAGGTGGTTTAGGGTAGTTTGGTTTTCAGTATTTTAATGAAAAATCCTCTTTTTGGTTTTTTTTCGTGGGCCTCTGCGTCATCGAAGGGTCAGCGCTTGGGTGCAAATGAGGCACAGTAGGAGCAGTAGTGACCGTAAGCGCCAGGCTGTTTTGGGGTAGCAGGCCGAAAAGCGGGCATTTCGGGTTTTGACGAGGGTTTTTTGGTTTTTGGTTTTCGGTGGTTTTTGAAATTGTAGAGGAGGTTTTTTCGGTTGATGGGGTGTTTTTTTTTTCACTTCAGCCGTTCGTGGAAAGCGGATTTGGTGGGTGTGGAAATTCCGGTAGAGGATTCCGCCACCGAGCAATTTGTGGTGATATTTTGGCATTTCGGTTATTTTCAGGGTCTTTTGTGATGACCACAAGCACGGCTGGCGGCTGAAGTACCGGCTTTTTGGTGTTTCACGGCACCACTTTCCTTCTATCTTTCGCAGCCGTTGAGAGCCGCAAAGCGATGCATCGGCTTTGCATTTTGGGTTGGAATAAATGGACGGAAAAGTGTGGGAGGTTGGAATTTTGGGAATCTGGAAAGAAGGAGATTGTTTTATAAGAGAATTGAAGGGTTCTCGGGGGCTGGTTGAACTGGGATATAGGTCGTTGAACAGGCAAAATGGCCAGGGAAGCATATGGCTGCGAAAATGAAGAACCGCAATTTCGCCGAGGATGGTCAAACCTACAGTTTGTGGCTTTTGGGTAAATTTGTCAAATTCAGGGTTCACCTCGAGGAAGATCCTCTTTGTGGCTTATCGTGGGTGCATGAGTTAGTCTCACTAAGCCACCACTGGTATCTGGGATCGTCAAGTGCACTAATCAGAGAAGTCGTGTGTTGAAGGGCACTACAGACATTTTTTGTACTTTAGACAATCTACGCTTTACTACTCTAAGTCACTGTATCTATTGGTACATTGCCGGTGAGTTAGCGATACAGTCTCTAACAAAGAGGATATTGGGGTATTTGACTTAGCTATTCATCTGGTATCAAATTCAAGCTGGCAAATATCGTGCCACTGTTTAAGCATTTAATATTTCTCGATCTCCATTTCACTTAGATTTCAATTTTTGGGCAACCTTGTCCCGTTATGCGGTCTGGTTTCGATTTTCAATCGACAACCAACCTGTTTCTGTGGTACGCTCTTTTCCGACCACTTTCCTTCTTCTGTGCCTTTTGCTTTTCCCGACCGTGAAAATATCCGGTCCGCTTAGCCCCAAAGCCGTCCACAATTTGCACCTTCTTATGACAATGAGTGCATTTTATAAAATGCCTCTTACTCAACGCAGACGGTTCTTCCCATGAAAATACTCGGAAAGGGCCAGCCTGTTCCAAATCGCAAGGGTAAATAAACATTTCCTGATAGTTGTCAAAGTAAAGGGACTTGATATCCATACGTTCAATTCCTCTCCTCTGGAACTCTGCATCAATGAAGCTCACAAAATCGCCTTTTAAGCGAGGTCTCAAAACCATCAAGACCTTAAACATAGGTTCAACTAGATGAGTGTGGCAAAAAGCCAGCACGATAGCTGGATGGGCATGGGCGTGGTCCAATTGTTCATCTTTCTTCTTCCAATGGATCAATAAATCGGTGTACAGCATCGCAGGCACCTTCGATACTTCATCGTACATTCTCTTGAACAGGCACAATGTATCATCCAGGTTCGGAGGTAAGAAGCTTGCCCTGATACCGTTATTCAAGAGCTCAGCACATACTTTATCTGCATTCCTCTTGATCGGAATCCTGTCTTGTTCTGGTAAAGACTCCAAATAGGCAGCACCTTCGTCAACATCCTTGACATACTTCCTGATGTAATCGCAGCATCTGTAACCACAAGATTGCCGAATGGATTCAAATGTCCAGATTGACCACCATATGAGGTCTTTTGGATGGCGAAGCACAAAGGGTATTAAAAGCTCACAGTACGACTGATCACCGTAACGCTCCTCTTTATAGATACGACAAACCTGTGCGTGAGGTGTAGCAAGGAAGTTCATTGATTTTAGGAAAAAAGATGTGGGTTTCTGAGATTTCTCCATCAGCAAGGGAATGGATTAAATATGATCTACTTTATCTCGTGTTAGGTCATCGAACCCCGGAAGTATACGTGATACATACCGTCGCTTGTGTAAGTCAGAAAGACAATCAAGATACGTCCGGTTGGGTTGACAATCGGTAAAGATCGCTCGATCTCCATTTTCGAAATTTCGAAAATCCGATAAAATAGTGGTTTCCATATGGTAGAATTTTTGTGTGCTCACTCATCAGTGTCAAGTGGACCAACTTCTGAGAAAGTGTAACTTTGTGCACGAGCTATCAACAAAAATGGCCCCACTAAGTTCGATGACCTCAAATCTTACGGAATGATCAATTTTCGCATTGATCTTTCTTTCAATAAAAAAAGAATAGGAACCATTTTATACCTGGTTCTCTATACTCTTCATGTTGAAGAGGGAACTACCAAGAGTTTCCAGACCCTATAAGGCCAGATTCCTCATGACAGTTTTGTTTCAATGGTTCCATTGATACATTGCTGGTTAGTACGATATAGTCTTTGACAAGACAGACTATATCGGCTGTTCTTATTAAGTTATTTCATCTGGTATCAAATATTGCTTAGCATGTTTCACGAATGTGCTGAAGCACTAATATCTCTCTGTTGGTAGAATTGAATTTCTTAGCAAATCTTGTGCTGTGATATTGTGTAGTCTCGTTGGAGACACTCAGTTGGGAATCCGCTTGTTTCTGTGATAAGCTCTCCCTCTGCCATTTTCCTTTTTTGGCGCCATTGGCTTTCTCTGACCATGAATAGATCTAGTATCATTAAACCAACAGTCTTTCACAAAGTGTCCCTTTTTATGGCAACGAGTACATTTTATAAAACGCCTCTTGTTGACCGATCCTTGTTCCTCATTCCGAGCTTTTTCAGATATAGATGGTCCAAGAATATGGTCCCAATACTTGTCCTTGTCGTAGACTGCCATGTCATTATAGCGATCGCAAAAGAGAGACTTGATGTCTACCCTCTCGATGCCCCTTCTGTGAAATTCTCGCCCAACATAATACTCGAAGTCGCCTCGTAAATATGGCCTTCTATACATCATAACCTTGAAATCAGCGTCGATTTGATGTGTGTGTAAGAATGCCAGTATGTGACTAGGAAGCACATCTGCATCCTTCAAATTTTTCTCCTGTTCTTCCCAACGAATCATCAAGCTTATGAGACTCTTCACGGTTAACTTCGACCCGCTTTCGAACGTCTTTTTGAAAGAATCCAATCCATTAACCCCGTGCATAAGGGGAAGATCCCATTTTATACCTTCAGAGGTGATTGCACGGCAAACGCTATCTGTGTTGCACACTATTCTTCTTCTTTGCTGTATAGGTAAGGAATTCAAGTAGGATGTGCCTTCATCGACATCCTTGACATACTTCAAAATGTAATTGCAAACCTGATCGCCAAAAACCTTTGAAATGCTCGGAAATATCAAAATAGACCACCAAATAAGGTCTTGAGGATGTTCGAGCACAAATGGGATTTCAAGCTCACAATACTCGTCCCCATCCTGCTCGTATTTCCATAGCTCTAACACCTTTGGAGTGAGAGGTGCAAAGTAGTTCTCCGAACGCTCTGGTGTGAGTTGGGTATATTTGGCAATTTGCAACATCGATTGACCACCGCAAAAGAACAAGTTGTTTGAATTTGAAAAATCGTTTGAACTTTGGGAACTAGCAATAAATGGAGTGTCCAGCTTATGATCGTGATGCATATAGTTGCTCATGTACCCAGATAAGCCCGATTGGGTTGATAAGCTGCCAAAAACGACAAATGACACAAATTCTCAATTCAAGGAGTGTGAAAATCTGATGAAATTGTCAAAGGTATGAATGACGGAATAAGTTCAGTTTGCTGTTTAAGCTGTGTCAAATGGAGCAAGTCTATTGATAAGAGATGGACCCTTTGCACACGAAAATGGCTCCACTGAGTTCGATAGATTTGGACCTAGAGAAAAAACGAGATTCGTGATATCCTTCCTTATATAATGAGAAAAAAAAAAAAAAAAAAAACCGGAATTCCCGCTACATACCTGGTTATCTGTGCTTCCTTAGGGAGCTATATGCACTACGTAAACGTCTCATAGTATGGGGCGGCATCCTGCGGCTTACTAATTTGTCAAGCTGACTAATGGTCTATTTGTCAACGGACTGATTTTTTATTTTTCAAGCTGGCTAATAGTGGATTTGTCGGTATGGATCTATGTAAGAGACCTTTTTGCCATCAATTCGTAAATTAATAGATTAAGTACCGATGAACTCTTTCACCGGTCTTTCTGCATCTCTCACATATTCTGTTGGAAATGCAGTACAGAAATATGCTCGCTTGGATCATCACTGAGATCTCCAAGAAAAGCAGAGAAAGTGGAGATATAGGTTATGAGTTCGTCAGAAATGACCAAAGCAGTCATGCTACTCCTTGATTGCTACAGTTGCCCGACGACTGCTATTCAGAAAACTATACAAAGAGACTGAGAAGTCCGCTTCTTAAATTATCACTTTTAAGTATTAAAGAACTCTTTCACCGATCTCACTGCATCTGTCTCACATATTCAGTAGATCTTGTTCCGCACCTGACCAACTATAAATACAATTCCGGTCTAGGTAGGCACTGGTAGATCGTTGGGGAAGGTTTACAAATGTCTCTGAAAGTGAATCTCCTCTCATTACGTCATTATCTGACTTTTCTGATAACTCTTCTGCTTCTTCATGATAGAGTCCTGCATATGGCATACATATATACTTACTTCTTCTTCCTCTAGACGAACAGAGCCGTCCTATTTTTACTTTTCAGGATCCAAAGTCACAGGTTCCCTTTCTCCTCTGCAATTAAATCCCCGAATCATCCTCCAATCAAAACTCCGTCGAACATCCTTCACATAACACTTCACAACTCCCAGTTGGGACTATGCGGCTTATCAAAAACGCCTATTTATCAAGCATCATATTTGCCAGCCAGGACAATATATAAAAACTTCTTCTCGCCCTCAAATCCAACCAACTAAGTTTTAATGAACTATTTCACAGATGTTTCTACACCTGTCTCACGCCAGTCATCCTTTGAACCCTGCTAATACAGCCTCATAGATACCTGAGTCTTTTGGAAAGTTCTCAGTGACTCGATCGGCAAGATTGATTGAGGTAACGCCCAAAGAACTGTAGTAACCCCCAACAGATTCCTCGTGGAGCCCATCGTGGGTTCCAAAAAATCCCATAAAGTACCTTTCATAATCGGTGAAAGAATTAGCTTGAAGATAAACCCATGTCTTGTGACTGTTCTGGATGCATTTGGCTTCATCCATGTTGAGCTGGTTCCCCCATTTGATCAAAAATGTAACAAATTGTCTAGCATTGTACTGGAAATTGGTCCAATGCCACTTTCTCCAACCTTCCATCAGATATCTAGGCCTCCCGCCAACATCGACCCCAGCAGAAAGCACAGCTTCAGCTATGGATTCGCAATGGAGCTTGACTTTTTCTGCAGTGGTTGGGTTCAATTTATCTGTAGTCAACCATTCATTTGCCTCTTTTCCAGTTCTGAGGTAAGTGAGGATATATTGATACTCCCTCCATCCGAAGACTCTCTGGACTTCGAGCAACACGCCATGAAGCCAAACCAAATACTCATCCCTTGACTCAAGCTTGAAAGGGATGACAAACTTTCGACGGTGAAAATCACATTCATCATCTTCAAAAAGATGTTCGATCACTGGTGCACCGAATACAGGTAATGCAGTAGCGGCGAGGGCAGCCATCTTGCACTAGATGGTAGTGGTTCTTGAAATGGATGCTATAGACGTGGGAAAGTGGGTAGAATCATATAGTTGACATGATGTAGGGGTTGCATGATCTGAAACACTTTCTGAAACACCAGTGGAGGCACTGACATGCGGCTCCTTGTTTCATCCCTACATATAACGTGGATATTTTCTGGCACTTCAAACACGTCACGTGCTTTTAGTCACGTGCCCATATTTGATTGTTGAGCACCGACACCCAGTACACCAGCAGCTACTTGGAAGTAGTTAATATGCAGTGTGTCAGACATTCTATCAAAATACTAGTATAGTTTTAGGTTGGAAGTAAGGTGTGTTCTAGTCACCTTTTAGTATATTAAACTCACTTAATGCTACCTCAGCGAACCCACTACATATTTATACCCAGGAATCTGCTGCTCATCGAGCGGCTCATGAAAAGGTTTTCTCTAGGACTCCTGGATATGATCTCTCATATACACAGTCCTCAACATTGATAACAGACCGATGCTTCCTTCATGCAGAAGCTACTACACCATCACCAACTACTATGGAAGACAGATCTATATGCCTGTTCTATCTGAAAATAGGAGCATGCAGGCACGGAGAGAAGTGTGCTCGTAAGCACATCAGGCCCCAGGAGCTGAAAACGGTGCTTTTAGCCAATCTATATCCAAATCCAAAAACAGACAGAAACAGCGACATCTCAGACTCCAACGAGTCGTTTGAACATTTTTACACGGACGTGTACAAAAGGCTTGCCCAGGCAGGCGAGATTGATTCGATGCTAGTTTGTGAAAACGAGAATTTCCATCTTAGTGGCAACGTTTACGTGAAATACACCTCCACTGTATCTGCACAACAGGCTGTGATGCTGATAAATCAGGAATGGTTTGCGGGAAAACCGGTCTACTGTGAGTTGCTGCCGGTACAGAGCTTCCATGACGCCAAATGCCGTTCTCATGATACGAATACCTGCAACAGAGGCGACCACTGTAATTTTATGCATATCAAGAAACTCAATAGCGAAGTGGGAAGACGTCTTCGGCTAGCCCAGGATAAGAGCATTGCCATAAAGAGGCTTCGAAAGCTTTTTGACGATGAGACGTGGGGAGAGGGGTATTTGGAGCCTTCGAAGGAGAAGTACTCGAGAAACAAGAAGCCCAAGGTGGCCAAGGAAGCTGAGAATGTGGTTGAGGAAGATAAGAATGGAGAGAAGGAGGAGGAAAAGGTTGAAGGGGCTGAAAAGACAAGCGAGACAGCTGAGACAGAGTCCAAAGAGGAGGAGGAAGAGCTGGAGGAGGTTTCCACCACCGAGGCTGTTGCTCGTTTATTTTCATAAAATTGCATTTCCACATGGGTCATGACGGATTGGTTGCGGCCAAATCAAACACGCTTGGCTGATTCACATTCAACAGAATAATAGACATGTTTGAAACATGAATTCATTCAAGGGCATATCCATTAATTCATATACATCGGCGTTCTTTACGCAAATACACAGAGCAGCGTGCTCTACCTCGACGAAAACAAGATGAACAACTGCTGTTTGTTCAATTTCCTCCCCAACCGGATGACCTCCGCAGAACCGCTTTTTAGCTGGTACTCTCCTTCCTGAGGTGCTTTTCCATATCTTGAATGAAGCTCACGAAGAAGCACGTTCAGTTGAAACGGTTTGATGGCGTTGGAGGTGGTGCCTATCGTAATATGTAAATGCTCCACTGTTGGCTTGAGTACGAGCAGTTGTCTGGAAAACCCCCCGGTGGTATTTCTCTCGTACATCTGTCCCATTTTCACCTCCACAGTGACCAATTTTCGGTCAAATACTACAGCTCTCACCAAAGTCACATCACAGTGGTCTGACAAATTGGCCAATTTGCCATTAGTCAATTGGGAACCAACATACTCTGCATCCAAATTCTCACCTAGCCAGTACCAGGCCGCTCCCAGCCTACTAGCATCGTTTTTGTGGCCCACGGTGATGTGGAATTCGCTCTGAACTCGATTTTTACTTTTTAAGCTGAACCATGTGTCGTTGTCGTCGAGGAACTCATCCAAGTAGTTGATGAGGTTTCTCCTCTCTTTGATCCTGATACCGTAGTACTCGGGCTTTCTTACCATTGTGTTCTTTTTTCGATCTTGTTGAGATCGAATCGCCAAGTACTACTGAGCCTGTTAGCGATGCAGGCATATACCAAGACCCCGAGTAACGGAGCGAGTAGGGGGTTCAAGTAGCGAGTCTTGATAAATTGCAATGATATTTCGATATTTTCGTCGATGAATTTTTTTTGAATTCTGTGATTTCTTGTGTTGTGTATCTCGTGGTTTTACCTCATGTTAGTAGGCGACCACCTTCTCATCGATGCTTCATATGCATAGATTTGCAGCCATTGGAAATCATCTACCTTGTTGATACTGTTTCATTTAAAATGCCGAAATTCAAATTCCTCAAGAATATTATCGTGGCGATGTCATTTGAATGCTGAATATTGCACGATCCGATGGTCAATTATAGCGGACGCCGAAGTTCATGCGATTTAAAACTAAACGGTGTTTAATTTCTTGGTCTTTGCATTGACTTTTTCTTTTGACATATTCAATCACGATACCAATGGGAGGCTCCCATATCATGGGAATTATTGATCAAAAGATGCAGCTGTCTGGTCACTCTTGACCCAGCTGTACTGTCCATTTGCTTCAGCCAGTAATGCTTGCCTTGCTGGATGTTTGTTCTACTTTTTACATTTTGAATGTTTTTCTAGTTCTGGGTTCGCCATTGGGTTGCCTATGCACGGCTGAGTGGTAGTGTGGTCTGGTAAGGAGGAGCTTGATTTAAGTGATTCTGATACTTTCTCAAACTTTAAGGCAGCTCTACCTGCTGAAATCTTTTCAACTCAAGTCTTGAATAAACTTGGTCAAACTTACTCGAAAGCTACGTCAGAGGGCTTATCAGCTCAGAGTCAGAGTGATGGAATTGTGTTTCCTAGCGTTTTGTTGGCAATGTTGGTGTGATTCTGCGCCAAATTGATGGGCTACTAGACATCGTATCCTCGAGAAAAGTCCAGTCCTTTTTTCTATCGGAAATGTCAACGAATTGGCATAGAATTTAGCCGTGCTAGAAACGTCATTACCAAGGGAGCCCGCTTTCTGAGAGTGTAATCGAATGGTCGTTTCGAAGTTTGGTGGGAGCTTGAAAGAAGGCGATTTTTTAGCATGAGTATTCAGCTAGCATATATGTTTCAAGATGGACATGAGCAATATGGCATGGTTGAAGCATAAGATTATGATATCTAGAGCTAAGGTTTGACTTGTCTTAGTTGTAGAGTGGTAGAATAGGAGCTTGTGGTAATTGTGAAAGTGCACCTTAGATGTATCAACGACAACTAACCACAAGTGACAAACCATGATTTTAAATAAGAGAGTTCAGGAGGTTTTGTACGATATAAGAAACTCTCCTTTGTGAGTCTATCATAATAAGCTCATCAGGATTCCCACAAGGACAGCGGACTATCACCAAAACCCACACTATCAATACCGCACAATGTGAGACAAAAAAATTGCAATTAAGCCCAAAACAGGTGGGAATCTCCAGAACCCCCAAATTGGGTAAAACTACTGCCAATTATTATCTAGCGGCCTCTCATATTTTTTTAGCCTTAACTATGGCGATTCAAGCGCTTTGGTTTCTTTTGACAGAGGTGCGTGAGCGAGTATTGGACCTACTCTAGATGGACGAATTTTTGTGAAAATTCACCCAAAAGACTGACCACTTTTTGCGTGGTATCTATAGTTACCGTGTTGGGACCTAGTGTCGTGACCTTTTTGCTACAACCTTCCTCTCTTGAATTAACCCTCATGACCAAACCCAGGTTTGTGACCACCAAGACAGTAGAATATTATTTCGTAGAACAGGCCTTTGGACTATAAAGCAAGGCCCATCCTCCCTGAATTCTTTTTCCTTATCCACCACTTATCGATCAAAAATGCCCGCCGTTTCTACCGCCAGCACTATCACCAAAGCATCTAAGAAGAAGAGCTTCCCTAAGAAGACGTCCACTGACAGAGGCAGCCTCAAGGAAAGTGACGCCCACATTAGGGAGAAAAAATTGAAGGACAAGAAGAGAAAGCGTTCTCAGAGAAAGCGTTCTACTAAGAACCCCAAGGACGTCAAGGAGGACGTCAAGGAAGACGTCTCCAAGTCCACCCCATCTCAGGTTAAGCCTGTTGAGTCTACTAAGGAAAAGAAGAAGAGGGTGTTCCTCTCTAACGAGGGCGACTCCTTCTACCCATCCCAATTCTTCACTTTCCAGCTCATTTTTGAGGACTTTGTGCCTCTCAACCCAGGTCAGACTTCTTACCTTGAGCACTACTTGGCCCAAAAGAAGGAAGAATGCCCAGAGGTGAAGGAAACTCCTGAGCCCGAGGTCATTCCTGTTCAGCACTTGCCTGAATCAGCCAACCCAGTTCAGGAAACTCCAGAAGCTGAGGTCATCAACCCAGTTCCAGTTCAGGAAACTCCAGAACCAAAGGTTACCATAACTCCAGCAATTTCCCCTAAGCTCGAGGTTTCTAACAATGTCCAGGCAGCACCTTTGCCCCTGGACTTTCCCTCCAAGACTTGGTCGTCTGAAAAGACCTACTACTCAGGCGACTTTCTCCACTTCAGAAAGTCACTCAAGGAAGAGGAAGTTTCCTACCTCCCCAAGGAATTCTTTTTCTGGCAGGACGCCTTATCCGAGAAGTCTGAGGAGTCGTTCGACATCGAGGACTTTTTCGAGTTCCAACTTATTCTGGAGGAGCTCATGTCTCTTGACCCACTGAAGAAGACCACCAAACCAAAGAAGGTCTTCCTCGTGGACGACGGACAATTTTTCGTCACCGACTTATTCAGCTTTCAAACCATTGCTGAAAGTCTCGAATCACTCGACGGTGATTTGTCTGACTACGAGTTCTGCTTGCGTGAAGAGCAGTTTGAGTTGTACTCCAGTGGAGAATCGGAGCCAGAAACAGAGCCCGTGAAGACTCAGGAGGTCTACTTCCCCGAAGACTTCTGCAAATTCTTCCAGCTCTGGACTTCGAGCCCTAAGTACAATGAGGTGTTTCTTCCAAACGACTTTTACTTTTGGAAGGATGCCACCAACGACGAAGACACTCCTTCATTTTGCCAAGGGACTTTTTCCACTGGCAGGGTGTCTTCAATGAGAGAAGCAACGAGTCCTTCCTTCCCCTGGACTTCAGCTTCTTTCAGCACATCACTGATTCAGAGCCCTCTTTCGCTGAAACCAATGATGAAACAAAGACCTCCAATCTTCCCCTGGAGCGCCCGAAATCAGAGTTCTTTCCAAAGGGCTTTGTGCCTTGGAAGAGACAGACAGAGAAGGTGACTTCCTACCTTGGAGTCATTTTCAAGCTTCCGAAGAACTTCCCCACCGAGACTGTAAAGCCTACGGTGAATCCACAGAATCTGCATCCTGACGAGGTTTACGAGCTGGACAGTTCGGAGCAGTCATCCATATTCGAGATGGTGCGCCATTGGGATGCAGATTTGAGTGACTCTGATTTTGACGTCTGCCTTGAGAAGGTGGACTGAGACTCAGTCGCCGAGTGAAGCTAAAGTGTATGAAAGTAATAAAAAAAAAAAAAAAAAAAAATAGCATTGTAGCGGGACCTTCAGTGGTTGTCTGATGGTGCTTCAAAAACGCAGATTCCTAGCCATGCTTGATTCAGGTGATGTACTGTCCATTTGCTTCAGCCAATTATCCACTTCTTGCTAGAATTGCCTAATAAACGATTTTCTTTTTGCACCATGACCCACCTACACCACACCTATTTTGCAAAAGCCGCTAGTCCACACTAGCGCTCTGCTTGAGCCCATCGCAACACAGCCTTGCACTTCCCATTGTGCCAAGACTCGGTCGGGAAGCTACAAATTGAAATCTTACTGTTTGGATAAGGTTTCGTTTTCTCGGATCCACAAAGGCACTATTCCAAGTCTTTTTCAACTGAGTCCCAAAAACGTCATACCCCATGATGCCAATCTCCACCCATCTCCTCATCTTCGCTTACATCAAGTCACGCAGAGGACCCCGACGCCCAGAAATCCGGACCTGTCAAAGTGCCGCAAAAGCCTTAATTCAAACGTCAAGCCCGGATAATTATACCGTCTGGGGCGTTTGTTCAGGCGTGAAGCCACACTTTTCGCTGTGGCATGTATTGCAGCCGTGCTTACGCCGCGACCCTTATTTACTCGTGCAGTGATAGGCTCAATATCTTAGAACGGGCGCATGGCGGCGATTGTGCGGCTAGAAGATGCGTTGCTTTTTGGGAAAACCCGCTGGTGGGTTAGGGTGGGTTTCGTGCTTATCGGTAAAGTCGTGGTTGTGAGCGCGCGGCCAATTGTGTCAGTGAACCACACCAGCGGAATTTAGGTTTGGGCGAGAAAGTCGCTTAAGTGAGTTTCGGCATTTGCTGGAAAGGTGCGTCTGAGCACCCCTAGTGCATGGATTTTGCATTTCCCGGGCGTTTAGACCGAATCCACCGTCGCTTGCATCCATGCTTATCTCTGTCATCCTGTACACGGCCGGCGACTTACGCAGCCTTGCGTCTATGGAGTAGGCAATTTGCAATTGCCAATTAGTCCCTGCAAATGAGGCAACCTCTTCGCTGCATACTTATGGAGCACGAAATCACCGTTTTCAAAAACTCCCCAAGTCATGTCCCACCAACCGGTTTCCGACAGCTCCAGCGTGTCTGATAATGGCCCTTCCATAGATAAGGCCAAAACCAACGAGATAGTCCACACTGTCACCTCGGTGGACATCGAAAAGGTGGAGAAAGAGCTTGAACACGATGACTGGCTGTACCACGAGGGAAACGTGGAAGAATTGGCCAACTCGCCTTATCCTGAGGTTCGTGCTGCTGTGACGTTGGATATCGACCTTGACGTTAAGCTCAACCACTGGAGAACATGGACCTTGACGTTGATCTTTGTGATTGTGTTTGCGGGTGTGAACCAGTTCTTCTCGCTCCGTTATCCTTCTTTGACAATCGGCTTCATTGTGGCCCAGATTGTGTCGTTTCCAATCGGTAAGCTTTTAGCGAGACTTCCAGAATACAAGCCCTCGTTCCTTCCCGATTTCTTCCAGCTCAACCCAGGCCCATACTCCAAGCAGGAGCATGCTTTGCTTACCATCGTGGTCTCCTTGACGTCGTCCACCTCGTACGCAATGAACATCCTCATCACCCAGACCAACTTCTACAACCAGAGTCTCGATGCTGGATACATGATTCTTTTGGTGTTTTCCACCCAACTTTTGGGCTACGGTGCAGCTGGACTCACCAGACGCTTTATCGTCTACCCTGCCGCCATGATCTGGCCCCAGACTTTGGTGACAACGTCTCTTTTCAACACCTTGCACTCCAAAGAAGGCGATGTTCTCGATAAGATGAACGCCAACGGCTGGACCATGTCGAGATACAAGTTTTTCGGAATTGTGTCCATTTTCTCCTTTGTCTGGTACTGGTTGCCCGGCTACCTTTTCAAGGCGTTGTCGTACTTTGACTTCATTACGTGGATCTGGCCCAGAAACCTCATTGTCAACCAGGTTTTCGGTGTTCAGTCGGGACTTGGAATTATCCCAATTTCTTTTGATTGGACCCAGGCCACCCAGGCCATGTCTGCCTCGCCATTGGCTACTCCAGCCTGGGTTTCGGCAAACACCTATGCATCTGTGTTCATTTTCTTCCTTATCGTCTTGCCATGCTTATACTACACCAACACCATGTACGCCAAGTACATGCCGGTGATGCTGACAACGACATTCGACAACAAAGCCAAAAAGTACAATGTTTCTAAAGTGCTCAACAGCAGGCTTGAGTTTGACGAGGAGAGCTACAAGCAGTATTCGCCCTTGTTTGTGCCGTTTTCGTACCTTCTTTCTTATGCACTCAATTTTGCAGCCGTTGTGGCCATTTTCGTCCACTGTTTCTTGTACCACGGTAAGGAGATCGTGCAAAAATTGAGAGACCAAAGAGCCGGCGGTGAGGATATCCACAAGAGATTGATGAACAACTTCAAGGAAGCGCCCGACTGGTGGTACTTGGTTTTGTTTGTCATTTCTATTGGCCTCTCATTTGCAGCCGTTTGTGCCTATGAAACACAGCTTCCATGGTGGGGTCTTATCATTTCCTTGTTGATTGCGTTTGTCAACTTCATCCCCCAGGGCTTGCTTGAAGGTATCACCAACCAGCACGTTGGTCTTAACATCATCACCGAGCTTGTGGCTGGTTACATCTGGCAAGGTAAGCCTTTGGCCAACATGATGGTCAAGTTGTACGGCTTTATTCCCATGAGACAGGGTCTTGAGTTTTCGAGAGATTTGAAGATTGCTCAGTACATGAAGATTCCTCCCAGACTCTTGTTTTTTGCCCAGATTGTCGGCACTTTGGTGGCTGCTTTGGTCAATGTGGGTGTGCAAGAATGGATGAGGTCCAACATCGACAACATCTGTGATCCCAAACAGGCAGACGGTTTTATCTGTGCTAACGGTAGAACCATCTTCAACGCTTCTATTATTTGGGGTGCCGTTGGTCCTGCTAAATTGTTCAACCCAGGAAAGCGCTACAATGCATTTATGTGGTTTTTCCTCATTGGCTTCTTTGCGCCAATTGTCACCTGGCTTGTGGCCAGAAAATGGCCTAAGCACTGGGTCAGCAGGATCAACGCTCCTGTGTTCTTCACTGGTCCCGGTAACATTCCTCCATCCACCATCTACAACTACTCCCTTTACTTCGTCATTTCGTACGGTTTCAACCACTACATCCGCAAGTGGTTCAGAGCTTTCCACGTGAAGTACACGTACATTCTTTCTGCTGCTATCGACTCCGGTGTGTCGATCTCGGCGGTTATCATTTTCCTTTGTGTGTCCTATCCAGCAGGTGCACTTGTCTGGTGGGGCAACACCGTTTACAACACCAACTACGATGGTCAGTCCAAGCCATTCTACACCTTGGCTCCTGGAGAGACCTTTGGCCCCGCCACTTGGGATTAAAATTGGTAAGTCTTTAATAGTAATATGTGATCAAGAGGTGGGTTTTGTAGTGGAGGCATCAACACAGATTTGTAAGCTTTTCTATGAGGGCTAGATTTTAGAGTCGATGGCTGAAAATGATCATTTAGACTAAAAGAAGGGACTATTCAGCGTTGAAAGCGTTATCGTTAAACCGAGAGGGTGACGAGATCGATCTACAGTTTCACCACCTCTACCAAAATTAATCCATTATTATGATGAGTGGCAAAAGCAAACCGTGAATTCGGTTTAAATGAAGATTCACCGATTCTGACCCTGTTCTGACCAAATATTATGGTAGTATCAGGCCGGTCCTAATGGCTGCAAACGGTCTGGCTGTTACACCCGGACCAGAATTTACATTGCCTAATTGGGAGGATCAAGTAAAAATGGAGATAGAATTTTTCTGTGCTGTATGCAGGTCGGGCTTTAAGATCTAGGAATCTACAATCCGCCACTACAGGCGCCAAAATTATCGAAAATGAAAGGAAGTCGAGATCTGTAGTCCTTAAGTGTCAAATAAAACGATTCGAAAGTTTGGGGCAATTTTGACCGATGGGGCGTGAGATAGCGTGGTGTGGACCCTTGACTATGGGAATTGGGCTCCTCGAGACAACCCACGTATATCTCCACACACCATTCATTCGAGCGCCCATTGAAGCCAATTTTCAATCTTTTGTGCTTCAAACAAGTAAGTAGACTTAATAAGATTCAAAAATTAAGGGTTTTCAAAGAGGCCCCTGGTGACTGATGCATCACGTGCACAGAGCTAGGGCTGAGATTCCTAGGGCTTTGGCCGAATGCGGCAGGCATGCCCAGATATTCACTACATAAGCGCGCAGCCCCCAAAGTCTCAGACTGGCGCTCCTGCACACGCACCTCCAGGCTAACAAATTTTTCGCACCTCTTCCTGGTGAAAATCTTCTTTCACCTTTCATCTAATTCATTAATCATGTCTGACGTTGAGGAAGTCCAAGTTGAGGAGCCTGTTGTCCAGCAGGAGCTCCAGTTGGTCGAGTTGGCCACCCCTATCCCAGCTGAGGTCCAGGCTGCCCAGCAGGAGATCAAGTTGTTCAACAAGTGGTCTTTCGAGGAGGTTGAGGTCAAGGACGTCTCTCTTGTTGACTACATCCAGGTTAGATCCCCAGTGTTCGTTTCCCACACTGCCGGCAGATACGCCTCCAAGAGATTCAGAAAGGCCCAGTGCCCAATCATTGAGAGATTGACCAACGCCTTGATGATGAACGGTAGAAACAACGGTAAGAAGTTGAAGGCTGTCAGAATCATCAAGCACGCTTTGGAGATCATCAACGTGTTGACCGAGCAGAACCCTCTCCAGGTTGTTGTTGACGCCATTGTCAACTCTGGTGCCAGAGAGGACTCCACCAGAATCGGTTCTTCCGGTACCGTCAGAAGACAGGCTGTCGATGTTTCTCCTTTGAGAAGAGTCAACACCGCCATTGCTTTGTTGACCATTGGTGCCAGAGAGGCTGCTTTCAGAAACATCAAGTCCATTGCCGAGTGTTTGGCTGAGGAGTTGATCAACGCTGCCAAGGGTTCTTCTACTTCTTACGCTATCAAGAAGAAGGACGAGTTGGAGAGAGTTGCCAAGTCCAACCGTTAAGGAACATGTACTTGTATATTTCGTCATAAAAGGAAAATTAATGTTGCAATGTAGGGCACTAGCTGGTGGTTCGATGAAAAGTATTAGCATTGATAAATAAGTATTAGTTGATGCGATGATGCTCAGACCCGGATGGGGTAGAACATGCGGATGAAATAGTATTTGATGCTGTTTTGGAGTAACCTGTCGTAGCGCTCCATACGTGCCATAGTGAGGTCTTTTTCGTCTCCATCGACGAGATCGGCTGCTCTCAAGTAGCCCGCCGAAGCTTGAGCCTGGGATCTTCTCTTTTGGAACTTCTTCTTCACAATGTACTCACGATTGAAGAGAAGAAGCAAAAAGGCTAGTAGGAACATGCACCCGGTGAACACTTGGGCATGGTCAAAAGGATTGGCGTTTTCCTCCTCCTTCAATGCAATGGCAATAACCTCTGAAGGAAGCGAAAAGATAGACACGATAATGTTGAGACCCGACCAGGCAGCAGGCATAAGGTGGGGCCGTTCTTGAACGTCTAGAATGTCAGCGCCGAGCGACTGGGCCATGATCGAACCAATACCGGCAGGACCGCCTAGTAAGACTGAAAGCACAATAAGAGCTCCATAAGATGTAGCATGGCGCCAAAAGGCCAAAATTAAAATGGCCAAGTACACGCAGAAGAAACTGGCGGTGTTCGTTCTTCCACAGTAGTCAGCAATGTTTCCCACGCACGGTCTACCGACAACCTGAGCAGCGTTCAAAATAGCCAAGAGGTTGTTGGACTGGTCGTGAGTCAAACCTATGGACGATGCATAGGGTGAGAAGGAGTAGAGGCAGATAACGTAGCCCAAGAGAGCCAAGCCAAACCAGCAGCCTAGCACAACGTAGTGGAGAGATTTGAAAAGCTCCGGGTTGAAGACGACTTTGGTGATAGCGACGGTACGCTCCCAGGTGATTCTCGAAGTGTTGAACTCGATGGTCTTTTTGTTTCGTGGTCTCAAGAAGCAGATAGCGAATAAGGTTGTAGCGAGTGTGACGAAGCCCACCATACGAAGCGGCCATCTCTGGTCACCGGTCTGTGAGATGAGCTTATTGAGGGACAAGGAAAACACCAAACCACCCAAACCAGCACCGGAGACACAGATTCCCATCGCAGTGGATTTTCGTTTTTGGAACCAGGTCGGAAGCACCAACGTGCCGGGAATAAATATTAAACTGAACGAACAACCGACGAGAACACCCTGGCAGCAGTAGATCTGCCAGAGTTTCGTGCAGAAAGACGCTAGAATGTAGCCTAGAGTCTGGAGCACCAAACCCGCCAAAAGAATGGGCGTTTGGCCAAACATGCTAATGAGAAAGCAGCATATAGGCGCCAACGCCTGGGCCAAAAACACCACAATGCCGCCTATAAGGGCAAAATCAAAGTTTGTGGCGCCTGGAAACAGGCTGTTGGACATGTAGTAGTTCAAGAAAACACCAAAGGCGGCGTTGGCGCCCCACGTCAGAAACACCAAAAGCATCGCCAACACCGCCTGCCACAATGCAAAAGAACCATCGATAGGGTGGTCCAGGCCGTCCTCAGAAGCCTCACTGACAGTATCGGACCCGGGCTCCTTATCCTTACTCAGTCTGGTGAGCTCGCGAGAAATACGGTCCATCTCGTCGTAGATGGCCTCCTCGGCAAGCGGCACGGCCGATTTGACCAGATACTCCTCGTTGTCCTGCTGGTGTTCGTCCCGTAGGTTTTCTAGGATCCGGGACACTCCAGAGCCGTTCGTCGCCTGTCTGTTTAGATTCGGCTGGCTCTCTGGATCTAGCGGCTTTGGGTTGTAGACCTCTGCCGCCGAGTCACCGGACGAGACAGAAACACGAGACATGATGGCTAAAAGGAGGGAGTGGTCTCGTTTATATAGTCCAGATGACTAATTGAAAAGTCGCAGGAGGAGATAACAGGACCGATGAGGAGGTACGCGGGGTCGACTGTGGGGGATGACGTTTTGGAATTTGGGTTTTTGGAGATTTGTAGTAGTTTAATGCGTTTTACGACGACAAAGTTTATTTCCACTCCAGCCTCGTCAATTCAGTTGGGTCTTCTGTTCAACGGTTTTGTGTCAAGCCCCACACGGCGCGCCATGGAACGGAACTTGTGCAGAGGCTTTGTTGAATTGTGAGGGATACACTTCCTTTCTGTGGAGGATTGGGTGGTGCTTTTTAGCCCATTGGTGATTTTTCCTTGTTATGCTGATTTTGTTAGGTAGTGCTTTTGACGACTCTCGAGTATGGGTAGCGGAATTAGCCGTGCGATGTATGTTTCAGGGACCACCAAATGTGGGTTCTGGTATATCCGGTGACTCACCGTTTGACGGATTTACTTGAATTTTTTCCGTCACGTCGGTGGAGAATCTGATACAGGTGGGCGGTCGGAGTAGCCACTGATTTTCCCGTCTGGTGGTGATTCATCCGTGGTGAGTAATCCATCCGTGGTGAGTCATAGAGGCGTGAGTTCTCCATTGTGGGGGGGAATTGCTATCAGGAGGGTGGCAAAAGATCAGAAAGAAAAGGAGGCTTTGGCGTTTGGAGAAGCCATCAACAACGTAGTCTGGTCAGGCACACTTTGACGAACAATGGAATTGGCAGGGAGGTGTCCAAATAGAGGGTTTTATGGAGTGAATTTGTCTTGGTTCAGTTGAGTTGGGATCTGCTTGATATCGGGGTCTTTCAAGTGGGTGAATGTTTCCGTGATTCGACAGTGGTGTGACGAAACTCAGATTCTATCCAGAAAGTGGAAGCGCCAACTCAGCTGAACGTGAAAACCATGCGTTTCGTCAAAACGAATACTCGATTCTCATTCCACCTGGCAGTTGAAAAAAGCCCAACCAAATCGTTGAATGTCGAAGAAAAGCGTAATCACCAGAGACGAAGATGATATGATGACTCCAATAATATCACCAAATCATCCAACCAAATGATTCAGCCAAAAGTCTTGCCAAATAATTTTGCCAAATAATCCAACCAATTTTTCCCACCAAATAGTCCCATTGCCTCATCAGTTCAGCCTCACCAGCATTTCGCAGCCATGTCTCAGAACTGACCAACAAGCTTTCAACCGACCGGCCCCATAAAAAACCCCCCATTTCATCCAAACTACTCTCAAAACTAAGAAATACCGTCAGTCTCCTTCAAGTTCTACAAATGTTTCTCAATTCATGAACTCAAAGAAACATCAGCTCTAATAAATATAGGTGAGTTCAAGATGCAAGAAAGGTTCAAACCCTGATGGGGTAGAACATGCGGATGAAGTAGTACTGGATGTTATGTTGGAGCAACCTATCGTATCGCTCAAGCCGGGCCAGTGCAAGCTCTGTTTCGTCGTCCTCAACAAGATCAGCTGCTCTCAAATAGCCCATCGACGAACCAGCCTGTGCTCTTCTCTTGTCAAACTTCTTTCTCACAAGGTACTCACGATTAAAGAGAAGAAGCAAGAAAGCGAGTAAAAACATGCACCCGGTGAAAACCTGGGCATGGTCGAAAGGATTAGAAGCGCCATCCTCCCTCAATGCAATTGCAATCACCTCAGCGGGAAGCGAGAAAAAGGCAACCACGATGTTGAGACCCGACCATGCAGCAGGCATAAGTTGGGGCCGTTCTTGAACGTCTAGAATGTCAGCACCGAGAGATTGGGACATGGTTGAACCAATACCGGCTGGACCGCCGAGCAAGACAGAAAGAGCAATGAGGGCTCCGTACGATTTAGCGTTCCGCCAGAATGCCAAAATCAAAATCGCCAAATACACGCAGAAAAACGCAGAAGTGTTTGTTCTTCCGAACCGGTCGGCCAATCTTCCCACAAGCGGTCTACCGACGACCTGGGCGGCGTTCAAAATAGCCAAAAGGTTGTTGGACTGGTCGTGGCTCAAGCCTATGGATGAGGCATAGTTGGAGAAGGAATAGAGACAAATGACGTATCCCAAGAGACACAAGCCGAACCAGCAGCCCAAAACGTTGTAATGGAGCGACTTGAAAAGCTCCATGTTGAACACCACCTTGGTGATGGCCACAATGCGTTCCCAGGTGATTTTTGAGGTGTTGATGTCGATAACTTTCTTGTTTCTTGGTCGCAAGAAGCAAAGGGCAAACAAGGTCGTGCCGAGCGTTACAAAGCCCACCATTCGAAGAGGCCATCTCTGGTCGCCAGTCTGTGAAATGAGCTTGTTGAGAGACAAGGTGAAGATCAAACCACCTAAACCAGCACCAGAGACACAGATACCCATTGCAGTGGACTTTTTTTTATCAAACCACGTAGGAAGCGTCAAGGTGCCGGGAATGAAAATCAAACTGAAGGAGCAGCCCACAAGAACACCTTGACAGCAGTAGATCTGCCAGAGCTTTGTGCAAAAAGATGCTAGAATGTATCCCAAGGTTTGGAGCACCAACCCCAAGACGAGAACAGGCATTTGGCCAAACATACTGATAAGAAAGCAGCATACGGGCGCTAGCACTTGCGCTAGAAACACCACGATACCACCTATAAGCGCAAAGTCGTAATTCGAGGCTCCAGGAAACAGACTATTGGTCATGTAGTAGTTCAAAAACACACCAAAAGCGGCATTCGAGCCCCATGTCAGGAACACCAAAAGCATCGCCAAAAAAGCCTGCCACATACCAAACTTCCCGTCAAGAGGGTGGTCCTGTGGCTCGTCAAGTTCTTCACTCACATTATCAGAGCAGGGCTCCTTGTCCTTACTCTGTGCGGAGTGTTGTCTGGAGACCCGATTTATTTCATCATTTATGGCCTCTTCGGCAAGTGGCACGGACGATTTCAGTACGTACTCGTCGTTGTCCTGTTGGTGTTCATCCCTGAGTTCTTCCAAGATCCCGGAACCTCCGGAACCGTGAGTAACCTGTCTCTCGAGAGTTGTGTGGCTTTCTGATTTAAGCAGTTTTGGTGTATAGGCCTCTGCTGCTGAATCGGAGGACGAGGAAGAGTAGCGAGGCATGGAGAAAAAAAAAAGGAAGTGATTGATTTATATAGTCCGAATGGCTAATTGGAGAGTTGCAGGAGGAGATAACCGTGCCGATGAGGAGGCACGCGGGGTTATTTTAAGGAGATGACAGGTTTGTGTTTTGGTTTCATGATAAATAAGGTTTGGGCTTAAACGTTCTTACGCAACGGAATGTATTTCTTTTAACAGCTTCACAAAACCAGTTTAGGTTGTTCTCTTGCTTGACAGCTTTTGTGTCAAGCCTCACTCCGAGCCGCACTGGAACGGAACTTATGCAAGGGCTTGTTGTGAAGGATACACTTATTGTCTATAGAGGATTCAGGGTGAGGGAGATGGGGCCTTTTTTATGTTTCGTTTTTTTATTGTGATTGTACTTTTTCGTTGTAAATGGGCTTGGTGGCCGGCTATTAGCGGAATCGATTGTGGTTGTTGGGTTAGTGCACGGTTAAATAGAGTTTCAATTTCATTGGTCTCGAACGCCAGGTGAAGTGGATGCTTCTGTGGCTGAACGTCAATTCTTTCTGTTGCGCCGGTTGAAGGATATGGGAGATCGGAGTGGCTGAAACTTTCCCGCTTTTTGGGTATTTCGCTTATCTGATAAGTCGCAGAAATGGAAGATCTCCATTGTGTTATCAAAAAAAGCTAATTTTTGTAAGAGAACGATATGAAAAGAGGATTGGGATCTGTAGATTGTGGTATCCTTGAGTGACAGGTGAATAATGTACAACGGCAAAGTATGTTCGGAAGGCTTTCTAATTGGTTGAGCTGAAAGGGCTGGAAAACGTCTTTCATTGTGAGTTGGGTAGTTGGGCAATTGACGGGAAGCAGCTCAAAATCGGCATTCACGCAGCGTCATTATCAGTGTCCTTGGAATCTTCAGTGACTATGGACTTTTTGGTGTCGGTGATATAAGTGTCTTCAGTGACATTATTGAGTACAGTGGCATAACTGTCTTTAGTGCACATCAATGATTTCACTTTTTTCACCATATCCGAAATATGAGAGAAAATATTGGAAAACCTTTCTATAATTCGTACAGCTTCATCATACTCACTTCCCTCAAACAAGGCGTATAGCAACGGTTGCCTCTTCAACTCATTCTAGCCATTATCCTGAGAACCAAAAGTCACTCAATGCTTTGTTTTTCGAAAAGTCACCATTTTGGTAAAAACCCCACCACAATGCTCCCTTAGCCACAAGGTGTGAGAACATCCATTGTAACTGAGACACATAATTAAGAATTAAGTCAACCGAAGTGAAATATCATAATCGCTATATCTCAATCAAATGTCAACGTATCCTTGGTAATTTATTTACCAGGTAAATTCCTTTTCCTTTTTCTACCCCAACTTCATGAACCTCCACAGTTAAGCCTCACCGGACCCTTTCGCAGCCATTTCAGAACCAAGCAACATCCACACAACCAACCCACCAAGCCCAATCTCACATTTCTTTTTATCCACCACGAAACCATATAAACACCTCCCAATTCCCCCAAATCCATTTCCAAAAAAAAAATCCAAAAACCCAAAAACCCAAACCCATCCCGCCCACCTTATCTGGTGTGCGCGCACCACCATATCAACCATCTGTCCTCCTACTAACCAGCCATGTCCGGAGCGTCAGACTTCCTCACAAAAGGCATCGACCTTATTCAAAAGGCCATAGATGCAGATACCGCCACACGCTACGAAGAGGCGTACAAACTCTACTACAACGGCTTGGACTACTTGATGCTTGCGTTGAAGTACGAGAAGAACCAGAAGCTGAAGGAGTTGATCAAGTCCAAGTTCACGGAGTACCTCTCGCGGGCGGAACAGTTGAAGGATTTTTTGGAGAAGCAGCAGCTGAAATCCAATGCTGCCGAGCTGTCGGCGTCAGGGGGTTCCACTAAAGCCAAGAAGGATGGAGACGACGACGACGCTGATACTAAGAAGCTTCGTGGAGCGCTCGCAGGAGCGATTCTTTCAGAGAAGCCCAACGTGAAATGGAGCGATATCGCCGGCTTGGAGACCGCTAAGGACGCCTTGAAGGAGGCGGTGATTCTTCCAGTGAAATTTCCCCAGCTTTTCACCGGAAACAGGAAACCCACCCTGGGTATTTTGTTGTACGGACCTCCTGGTACGGGTAAGTCGTACTTGGCCAAGGCCGTGGCCACGGAGGCAAACTCCACTTTTTTTTCCGTTTCTTCGTCTGATCTTGTGTCCAAGTGGATGGGAGAGTCCGAGAGATTGGTCAAGCAGTTGTTCAGCATGGCTCGTGAAAATAAGCCTTCCATCATCTTCATCGACGAGGTGGACGCCTTGTGTGGGCCCCGAGGCGAAGGAGAGAGCGAGGCGCTGCGGAGAATCAAAACCGAGCTTTTGGTGCAAATGAACGGTGTGGGCAACGACTCACAGGGTGTTTTGGTTCTCGGCGCCACCAACATCCCGTGGCAATTGGACGCCGCCGTGAGAAGAAGATTCGAGCGCAGAATCTACATCGCATTGCCCGAGTTGGAAGCTAGAAAGCGCATGTTCGAGTTGAACATTGGCGAGGTGCCCTGTGAATGCAACCAGCAGGATTTGCGGGTGTTGGCCGAAATGACAGACGGCTACTCGGGCCACGATATTGCCGTGGTGGTGAGAGACGCCTTGATGCAGCCAATCAGAAAGATCCAGCAGGCTACCCATTTCAAGCCTGTCGAGGAAGACGGATTGGAGAAGCTCACGCCGTGCTCTCCTGGCGACGAAGGTGCCCGCGAAATGAGCTGGCTCGACATTGGCACCGACGAGTTGAAGGAGCCCGACTTGACGATCAAAGACTTCATCAAGGCCGTCAAGAGCAACAGACCCACTGTCAACGCCCAAGACATTGAAAACCACACCAAGTTCACAAACGACTTTGGCCAGGAGGGCAACTAGACCACGATTTCCGATAATAGAGCAAAAACGTCATTCTAATGGTACTTTGTAGTCCACCATCTTCTTTCAGGTCTAAATTATTCGTACATACTATACAATGACAAACGTCTACTTTTTCACCTTCTGCCCTTGCCTCTTCTGCCGCCTCTGCCGCCTCTCTTGGGTGCTCTTTCAGGCGACGCTTCACGCAATCTCCACGCAAACAAGTCGTCTTCGTCTTCACGGGCAGACTTTGTTTCTTTGAGTTTGCTAGCAAACAAATCCACATCGTCGTCCTCGTCTCTGGAGTATCCACCACGTTCTGCTCTGCTGGAACGCTCGGGTCTGGCTGTTCTTCTTCTTTGTTCTCTGTCGGGCTCGCCGTGGAGAAGATAGTATCTCGAGTACACAGCAGCATTCTTGACTTTTCTGTCGGACTGGAGACTCTGTCTAATGTACAACACAACGGAGCTGTCGTCCTCGTCCATGCCGGTGTTGGCTTCCTCCTCTTTCTGCTTTTTCTCCTCAAAAAGGTCCTTCTCTTCGCTGATGCGTTTCTGGTACTTGTGGAAAGCAATGGTGGGCGCATATGGCTTGGTTTCTCTTTCCTGAACAATCTGGGAAACATACTCCTGGCTGAATTCCTTCACAATCTCCTCAGAAGCTCCGCCAGAAATGGATAATGCTCCCAAACCCTCAGCAGCGTCTTCGTGTGTCTTGAAAACCACATTCACGTTGGAGTCGTCGATCCACTGGATTCTGAACCAGATAGGGCGCTCGACCTCCTTGTAGTCGTCGTCGCCGATTTTGTCAAAATTGAGGTAGTAGTCAACAAATGCTTGCAAGTCTTCTGTTGATAAATTGTCCACACCGTTGATATGCAAGGCTTCAGGTCTTAGCGTCTGTGGTGTACCGTTTATGGCGATTTCCACCTGCTGCAGCTTGAGCTTCTCTTCTTGTTCCTTTTCAGCATCTATGGTTCTTGTCATGAAGCCCCCGTAGGGTGCTGGTTCAGCCATAGTGAAACACTGAATAGTTAGTATGAGAAAGCGCGCTGTGTCGGATAGTGGATCTGGATGGTTACGGAAAGTGTACTATAAAAAGCGCAGGTGTCCTCTGGAGTTTTTCGATTACGGAGCGGTGATGCTTCTATATACTAGTCTGTTGCTGTTTGTGGTGCAATGGCACCGATACCGTAGTGGTATCTTGGTGATGACCTAGGCCTCCATGAGATCTGTGCTATTTGTAGTGAAGCCTCGTGCAATTTGACAACCTTCTATTAAAGAATTTGGCTTCTTTTGTCCACAAACTCTGAAATGGCGAATTTGCTGGAGGTCTTCCCACCTTTTTCAGCATGACCATCCAGAGCGATGAGGCCATCTAAAGTGCCTTTCGCCATTCAGCTCGTGAAACCCAACCATTAGAGACCTTTCTTGTCTGGCCTTGTACAATCCTTCAACGTCTATTTGTGTACCCCTACTCCTCCATCTTCTCCTCCTGGGTCTTGGACTCGGGATCCTCCCGAACAAACAAAACATTGTTGCAACGAATGAAGATCTCTCCGATTAGCTCCTCCTTTTTCTCGTGATCCTCCGTTACAACCTCGTAGGTGTCGTCAAGCTGAAGATTCATGTAATTGTCGATGGCTAGAAGGGTGCCCTTGTACTCCATCTTGTTCCACTTCAAGCGGACAATGACTTTTTTATTGAGAAGCGTTTTGAGAAATGGCTTGGGGTTGATTGGTTGGAACTGCTGTTAGTATAGGCTTCGAAAAGTTCGATCGTGGGGAACATACTGTTGACATAAGAAAGTGGTTGTAGTTGATACTTCTTCGATGGTGTGCAGGAGAGTAGTAGTAGGTATCAACACAAGGTGTCGTCGGGAGAAAAAATCAAAAGTACACATTCATTTCTTCCTGAGAATACATTAAAGCACCAAACTCCTTCACTCCCACCAAATCCAGCTCTTTCGTGTCAACTTCACCCAGACCAAGTCTCCTGCACGCGTGCCTCAAATAGATACTACTTCACCAAGTGTCCTATTATCACCACCATGTCCTTGACGGCCGTATTCGTGATAGGCACGCTTGTTCGTGTGGTGGTTCCCACGCTATTTCCACAAATCACAGATGCCTTGGCCTCGACTGTGGAAACATCCACACCTATAGACTCGTTCAGGTCGATCCAGGAAGCCTTCTACCTATTGAAAAACGACTTGGACGTGTACGATGGAGGTGTCGTGTACCACCCCCCTTTGCTAGTTGCCGTGCTTAATCTCGTGAATGACGTTGTGCCTGAACAGTTTGTGTACATTGTGTTCAATGTGTTGTATGCTGCTGTTGATGTGGGCATTGCTTGCAAGCTTATAGGTATCAACCAGTGGTACCACCAGCATCAACAGAAAAGAAGCAAGATCGAAGGGCTGCCATTCAGCTCGACTTTCATCGCTGCGTTCTACTTGTTCAATCCGCTTATGATATTGACCAATTGGTCCCACTCAACTGCCACTTTCTCATACTTCCTCGTGATTGAGCTGGTAGCTCAAGTTGTGGTTGACGAAAACCCATTCAGAGCCATGATTGCGCTTGCCGTGGCCGCCTACTTATCATTGACACCAGCTTTTCTTGTGGCGCCTCTTGTTGCACTCGCCTACACGGTTTCTCCTCAGCGGGATTTGACTAGAATTGCCGTTCAAGGCGGTGCCATCTTTCTTGCATCCATTGCCACCTTGGTCCTCCTTTCATTCGTGCTTTCGGGCTCTCCAGACTTCCTCTACCAGTGCTACGGCAATGTCTTGTTCTTTGACAAGTTCTCGCCTAACATGGGTCTCTGGTGGTACATCTTCACCGAGATGTTCGACTACTTCACACCGTTGTACAAAGGTATTTTCAACTTGTACCACATCATTTTTGTGCTTCCGCTCACTGTGAGGTTCTTTGAGAAGTCAACTGAACCCCACCTTGGTGACTCCTTTTTGGCGGTGGTGATGTCGTTTGCCTGGCTTTGCTTCTCCAAGTCCTACCCAATCATTGGTGACCTCGGTTTTGTCTTGTCCATGTTGCCCATTTTCAAGAACACCGTCATCCCCCACACCAAGTTCATGCTCATCAACGCGTTGATGCTTATTGTTTGCTTGCTACTCGCTCCAATCTTCTACTACTGTTGGATCGTGTTGGGCAACGGTAACTCCAACTTCTTCTTCAGCATGAGTCTCATCTGGGGCGGCGTGTATGTCATCATCTTCCTTGACTTTATCTGGGGCCGCTTAGTTTTCGACTACTGCCAGACCCACGAAGTCAAGGACAAAAACAACCTTCGGTTGACTCAAATCTAGCATGATAATAGGATATAGAATTTGCTGCGGTGTAGTGTAATATAGGCCCCTGGGCTAGTCGCTCCACTTGAAATAGCGGAAGCGTGATCCATCATTCCCTATTGGCGTTTCACGAAAATTTGGCTTCGTTTTCAAAAATCACCAAATTTCGATTATGTGTTGCTTCATCCATTGGTGTTCATCACATTCAGTACCACCTGTAGTTCGCAGTATTTATGTATATATACGCATGTCTCAGAAAATTGCAAACACTCGAGGTAGATTGTAAATACACAGAATTCAAAAAACTTCGCCCTTTTACCTAAATGCCTATCTAGAGCCAATAAGTACAGTTTCTAGTACTATTTAATTGCAAAATGACACGGTTGCTGTTGAGCTTGCCGTTACATTACAGGACACACTCAAACCAAAACAACCAATAAGCTCGACAATCCAAAAGCAAACCCAATAACAGAAAACGTATATCTGAACTCCACTTACCACCCCCCAATCACCAAAATCCTGCCGTTTTTTTATCTTCAACGTCTTTGGCTGCAAAAATGGCCTGCACATATGCACCATCCAGGGTCCTGCCGAAGAAACCGACGAATCTCCCAAATCAAAATTGAAAACCAAAAACATAAACTTCACCCTAACACATTCCACCTCAACCGACCCGCTGGCACAAGCTGCTGGCGTTACCTCTGGTAAGTTGACTTGTGCCTGCACACACCACAGCCAATCACTGCCACCCAAATCGCATTGAGATAATCGAAAAAAATCCAACCTAACTACCACACAAATCATGTTGTCCCGTGCTTCCCGTGCCTACAGCACTGCCCCTGTGAAATTGGTGTCCAGAGATGCCCCAGGTAACTTGACCACCTTGCTGGTGAAGGTCAACAATGCCGGTTCCAAAGCCGGCAAGATTGGTGTGGCCCACCTCTTGTCCAAGTACGCTTTCCTCAACAACGAGGTCAAGTCTGCCTTGCGTTTCACCAGAGAGTCCGAGCTCTTGGGTGGCTCTTTCTCCTCCTACGTCACCAGAGACGCCATTGTGTTGAAGACTCAGTTCTTGAAGCAGGACTTGCCTTACTATGTGGAGGCCTTGGCCAACACCTTGCACAAGCCTCTCTTCAGACCACACGAGCTTGTGGAGACTGTGGTGCCTGTGGCTGAGGCCGAGGCTGCTGCCGCCCATGCTTCTACCGAGTTTGTTGCTTTGGAGCACTTGCACGAGTTGACCTTCAGAAAGGGCTTGGGTAACCCCTTGTACTACGACTCTGCCTCCACCGTCACTTTGGACGACATTAAGAGCTTTGCTTCCGAGGCTTACGCTCAGGAGAACGTTTCCCTCTACGCCTCCGGCGCCAACCAGTCTGACTTGGCCAACTTTGTTGCCGAGTCTGCTTTCTCTGCCTTGCCATCTGGCTCTCTCAAGGCCCCAGCCGTCAAGACCCACACTGGTAAGGAGGCTCGTTTCAGAAAGGGTGGTGAGTCTACCGCCATCATTGGTGTCCCAGTTGCCACCAAGGACTACGCCAAGTACGAGGGTTTGTCTGCTGCTGTTGGTAACTCTGTCTTGAAGGGTGTTTCTTCTCCATTGGCCCAGATCCCAGGTGCCGACTCCAGATTGTACAAATACGAGGACGCTGGTTTGTTTGTCGTTTCCGTCACCGGCCAGGACGCCAACCTTGTGGCCCAGGGTATCAAGGCTGCCAAGAAGGCTGTCGAGGGCCTCACTGCTTCTTCCTTGTCGGACGCCATCAAGGCCGCCGAGGTGTCTGTTGCTTTGCAGGAGTCCTTCGAGTACCCACACGACATCAAGATCACCGCCGACAGCGCCAAGGGCGCCAAGTTGGGCGCTTTCAACTACGTTGCTGTCGGTAACACCGATGTGTTGCCATACGCCGATGAGTTGTAACTCTCCTAATCACGCATATTCCACGACATTTAGAAGCAGCCTCTGCATGGACTAAATATAGGTTCCGTCCGACCAAAGTGTAGCTTTTTGTATTGACCCATTCTGTGGATGTTCCTGCACACAACCACACCCAGAAGTGTTTTTCAAGATGAGAAGCTCAACTCTGAGAAACCAACCATGTCTGACGTTGAGGAACCCTACAACGAGGCGCCGGAAAACTTCGAGGACTTCGATGCCCCAGACCACTTTTCCGATGACGACTTTGCCGAGCCTGCAGGTGCTCAGGACGGCGAGGACGTGGGCATGAAGGCTGAGGATGGAAGAACCATCATCAACGGAGGTTTCAGCGAAGCTGATGCCCAGGTCAGAGTCAAGACTTCTCGTGAGCTTTCCATTCCTAAAGAGGACAGAACCACCACGCCATACATGACGAAGTACGAGAGAGCCAGAGTGTTGGGTACCAGAGCTTTGCAGATCTCTTTGAATGCTCCAGTGTTGGTGGACATTGAGGGTGAGACCGACCCTTTGCAGATTGCCATGAAGGAGTTGGCGCAGAGAAAGACGCCATTGGTTATTAGAAGATACTTGCCAGATGGCTCGTACGAGGACTGGGGATGTGATGAGTTGATCCTCGACCAGTAAGGGAAACGACCGGGCCTCAGGGCACCTTGCATATGTAATATAAAAATCAGCGGTGAGATTGTAGAGTTGCGGAGGAGGACGTATTGTTTGAATGGGGTGAGTGAGTTATGATGGGGGATGGTATAGGGTTTGAGTGAATGA